TTTGGATAATTTTTTTAACTAAACAATGGATCTCATGTATAATTAATGACATTAAAAGTGCATTATAAATATTCAAAAACCGCTATTTTGTTGAATAATTTATTGAGTTATTGCTCTTTATGTTAAATATTTTCGTTAATCACGCACACTTTTTTTAATTTGTAAATTTTAAACGTATACGTTTAAATTTTTACGTTTTACGTTCATATATGACGTCTATTCGATGCAGAAACTGACAAAAAAAGTTTTTTTGGTGGCATTACAATCTGCATTAAAAATTAGTCAAATAATATAATTATTTTTTCAAAAAAAAAAAAATTATATATCAAGCCAAACTTTGACAGGTGTCAGTTGACAGATACAAAATTGCAGAAAAGTGACAGTTGCTGTCTTATCTAACCTCACTTTTATAGAACATTACCTAAATTGTATGGTTCAGATCAGAAATGCATAGATTACACACCAACTAAAAAGCACACAATAAAATAAGTTGCTATCTCCCTGATAGCAAAATTTGATTCTAAGAATCTTCTAAGAAAATATGACCCGGAATAATGGAATATTCTTAGAACCTTCCCTTATTGCTAAGAATGTTCTTAGGGACTTTTAAAACATTCAATAGATACCCTTTTAATGATGCAATTAGATTCTTAAAAGCTTCTTAAAACCTTCCTAAAAAGCATCCTAAGAACATTTTAAGAATACGTTTTTGGAATGTTCTTAGAAGGTTTCTTATGGAGCTTCTAGGAAGCTTTTGAGAATATTTCCAAATATGTCAGATAGCCACGTTCTAATATGTTGTATTCTACATTCGTAAAATTCTTCAGGAGGCGACAAATACGCCTCACTGTCATAATATGAAAGTGAAATGTATTTGTCGTCCCCTTAAAAAATTTTGCGACATTAATATATATTTATTTAAAAATATTAAATAAACAATTTGACCTCTAAACCATAAGTTGTATGACATTATTTCATAAAAAGTAAAATTGGAAAATTTTGTGGCATAAGTTAGATTAGATTGAAGTTGAAGATAGTTAGGATTATTATACATAAAAATGTTAATTCAGAAATAAAAAATCGTTATACAAATTAATAAATATTTATTTAGTAAAAGTATTTTTGTTATCGAATATTGTTTTAATTTGACAAATAACTATAAAAAATATTTTGGATTGTGTTTTGTACTTAGTATTTAATACTAATTACTAATTAGGTACTTAGGTATAGGTATATACATACATACCTTTATACGTAGTTTATGGTATATTTTACTATTATATAGGTAACTGAACTAAATATGCTTAACAGGAATATTCCTAAATGAACTTTCTATAGCAATTACTTTCTTAACATTCTAAGCGTTTGTTTAAGAACCTGCCTATAGGCCAGTAAGGATATTCTTATGATCATGCTATATGTCTTTTAAGCATTTCTTTAGAAGAAATATAGACCAGGGTCGATAATTTTTGAAACCAAAAAAATTACAGTAGGATGAAACCCATTGGAAAAGGAGAAGAATATAATAAAAATGAAAGGAAAAATAAATTACGGGCGATCTGATCTGATCTGATCTGGGAAGTGGGAGGGGGGGTTTTAAGGGTAAAAAATGGTTTATCTCGATTTCCGGCAAAACTACAAGTCCTATGGAAAAAAGTTAAATGGCAAAGTTGTAGGTAATAAAAGGATCTACAACTTTTGTAATTACAATTTTTTTACATAACCTTAAAATTTATGTGAAAAATCCAAAAAACCAAGTTTTTGGTTTTTTATTTTTTTTTTCACGAAATTTGGTGAAAACTTACCTTTTTATGTCCTAAATACACTGTAATTTATTTGATTTGAAATATTTATTATTTCGCCTTATTTTGACTTAATATCAAAAAAGCACCCTAATTTTCAATCGAAAATTCTCGCGTCAAAATATCAGCTTTTTTTAAAAAGTCGGTGTGCTTTTTGTTCCTTGAAATCTCTACTTTCTGATGGTGTAAAAAAAATATACATTACTATGGTAAATGTTCTCAGAAAATTCAAAAAATATTATAATGAATAACGAAAAAAACTCGAATTCGAAAATTTATTTTAATCATTATGTACAATATTGAAATATTTCATCAAAAAAATGTGATTGTTGCAATTTTTTTTAGTTAAAAAGTTTATTTATTAAATTCTAATAACATTTATGTCAGAAAATCTCATAAAATATAAAAATACATGTAAATCATACTATTGAATTTAGATACTTCATTCTGATTACGTTATTCATTATAATATTTTTTGTATTTTCTGAGAACATTTACCATAGTAATGTATATTTTTTTTACACCATCAGAAAGTAGAGAGTTCATCGAACAAAAAGCACACCGTCTTTTTGAAAAAAGCTGATATTTTGACGCGAGAATTTTCGATTGAAAATTAGGGTGCTTTTTTGATATTAAGTCAAAATAAGGCGAAATAATAAATATTTCAAATCAAATAAATTACAGTGTATTTGGGACATAAAAAGGTAAGTTTTCACCAAATTTCGTGGAAAAAGTTTTTTTTTTTTTAAAAGATAAAAATAAAAAACCAAAAACTTGTTTTTTTGAATTTTTCACATAAATTTTGAGGTTATGTGAAAAAATTGTAAATACAAAAGTTGTAGATCCTTTTATTACCTACAACTTTGACATTTAACTTTTTTCCATAGGACTTGTAGTTTTGCCGGAAATCGAGATAAACCATTTTTTACCCTTAAAACCCCCCCCTCCCACTTCCCGAACTCAGATCGCCCGTAATTTATTTTTCCATTCATTTTTATTATATTCTTCTCCTTTTCCAATGGGTTTCATCCTACTGTTATTTTTTTTCTCTTTTTACCATTTTTAAAGGCTTCTGCACTGGTCTAATATAGCATGATCCTAAGAATATTCTCACTGGAAGGTTTAAAAAACATTCTTAGAATAAAGTGTGCTATCAGGGATATAATTATAATGTTAAGATTATACTACTTTGTTACCTTCACTTTTTTGGTTTAATATATTTTTTAAACTAGTTTATCAATAATTTTGCGATACGACGAAATTTGGGTACACTTTCTATACAATAAATTAAACAAAACAGCCAAAACAATTTAATAGTAAATATTGAATACGCGCCCCTGCTTTGCCAAACACGTGTTAAACTAAACTTGAAGGCCGGTACCATTACGAAATTACGTCAACTGAGCTTAGAGCGTTCTCGCCAAGTTATAACGCGCGGAGTGTATGTAATGATAACCAGTATAACCGCCAGTGATTGGCCGATTTCAATATTCACTTTAATTTAAACCAATCGGGTTTCAAATTATAAAAAAGTGAAGTTGGAACTGACTAACATGTCAGATTTTTTTATATATGGGTGATTCTACAAAAGTTGGGCAACTTTTGACCTCATTTGGTTTATATAGTTTTCGGGGAAAATTAAACAGTATTTTGTTATGAGAACACAGATAATATAATAAATATATTGTTCCAGACCGGGCCAGTCACTTTTTCAAACAGTTTCTGAAATATCTGTTTTCTAAATTTGAATGCAAGGGAAGTGACGAGTATACCAGGGTACTAATTAAATACATAATTTATTGGAAAATATAAGATTTATTGCAACTTTGAGCATATTATACATTAAATATCTTAAAATCAAATAATACCACACATCAGTGGCGGCTGGTGAATTTTGGGTATACCGATATCTCAATTATTAGACATGGGACCCACACCAAATTTATATGAGTTTATAATGGCATTAAATAAACAAGTTCTGCGCAAGCAGAATTTAAATTGAAGTTTGCGAAAAAAAGATAACCGAAACATCGAACATGGAACTGACGACACGGTACTGATGAATTGGATACAAATTTGATATTATAATTCGGAATTAAGTATTTTACTGATATTTTTTATTAGTGGATGCCACTTATCAACAAATCACATATAGCCTTAAATAAATTACAATGAAATATATATATACGTAAGAAAATAACTACTCACCACAGAACTGAAATTTTGACTGAAACTATACGTGCTTTCACCACAACTTCGCCGCTTGCATTGTTTTCAAGATGACTGTCGTGCAAAGGGCGGGCTCTGTAGGTAATTTTTTACCAACACTTGAGTTTAAACTTCAATATTTCGCAGAAATTTTGAATTTTAACATTGGACACAGAACTGACAGGTAAAAGTGAGTACAAAGATTATCATTTTTTTAAAAATTGCTATTATTCGAATCTATGATAAAATATGAAAAATATATTATTTAATGTTTTATAGTTTGTAGCGACATTGAAAAATTTAAGATAAATTGAATATATTTTAATAAAATCACTCAAATATTTGATTCAGGAGTTGTGACACGCCAAGGTACTGATGTTTTGAATATTTATTATGTTTTTCTACAAACGTGCTTTTAAAAAAATACATTAAAATTGGGTGGACAAGTTAAAAAAACCTGGATCTTTTGTAATATACTAAAATATTTACAAAAAATATTAAAATACCTTCTCTATTGACTGATGACATCAAGTTGTCCAACTTTTGTAGAATCACCCATATACGAGGGGCGACTATAAAGAATTTTAAAATCGAGGAAAAATTATCCGGTTTTTAATGAATATACGTATATAAAAAATAAATTAATAAAAAGTTTTGCTTACCTTAAAAAATGTATTATACAAGGTGTCCCTGAATTGCCTGTACAAAATAATACTACGTACCGAAAGTTAACATTAATTTTATTTTTAACTTAAATGTCAGAGTGTTCATTGATAGAATAGTACATAACGACATAAGGCCGATATTTAGAATTTGACAGTGTCAATTTGAATGTCATGGTCAAATTTAAAAAACGCCAAGCTAGCAAAACAATGCTTTTATCGAAAAAACTGGACTTTGATAGATAGCTATTGGTAACGGTTGTTTATTTTTAAAATTCGTTAAAAAAAACGTGAAGGACATTCAAGAAGAAACATTTTTAAATTAATATTGTTTATTGACACACATTTCTTGTTTCTATCTTAACTACATAAATAAAAAGATTTTTTATAAGGATTTTTTTTTCATAAAGATTAATCAAGTCAGCTACATCCATGGACCACTTAACCACATTAAAAGTATTAACAGACCTTATCGTTCTCCATCATATGCATCAGCAAATCAGCAATCCTATGACAATATCCTGACTCGTTATCATACCAGGCTATGAGTTTGACAAACGTATTTGACAGTTGAAGGCCGGCGGTCGCGTCAAAAATTGCAGAGTAGCTCGTGCCAATCATGTCACTTGATACGACAGCGTCCTCTGTGTAACCCATGATACCTTAAATGGAAATCCAGAAGACTCTTATACTATACAGCGAACGGAAAAATATAGAAGTGCATAGGATGACTAACCGTTTGAATACTAAATCTAAAAGTTTTATCAGAACTGTATTGAATCGTGCTTTGTTTTTATATTTTTCGCCTCTATACCTATGCACGACTATAGTTTAAGTCAAACTCAATGGTGTCTTACAAGATACATTATTTTGAATTTCTATATTCAACAGAGAGGTAGAAACTCGACCCTGTCGAATGGCGCAGTCGTTTATGTCTCCGGAAATTATTGAAAAAGGGGGCAGTCCAATGGTGCAGCAACTTCGGATTCTTATTCTCTTTAGAGACATAGAAACTCGAGCTTTTCGAATTTTACTGGCAATGATTTTCGTTAATGTCCCCGAGAATTATACAAAAACAGCGCAATGCAATATCGCAACGGTTTCGACTTCTCTTTACTCTACCAAGTTATAGAAACTGGAGTCTCTCTAATACTGTTCTAGTCAACATTTCTGAGAGCATAAAAAGAGAGTGTAATTTAATATTGCAAAAAGTTTTGATCTTTTGATGTATGCAAGTCGTTTGAATTTTCTTCTTTCTGCATATGATTTTGTTGAAAATAGTTCCTTTCTTTGGTTCCTTTGACTGATTTTTATTTACCGTAACAACTCAGGTATGTAAAGCACAGAGGATATGATGTAAAGTATATTTATATATTATATAAAGTACCTATATTTGTATTAAAAATTTTAGAGGTTATGTTGAAAAAACGATCGATATGCTATTAAACTTTAATAATTTAGTAATAAGTTGTGTTGGTAGACCCTGCACTATCTCCATTTTTGTATGTCAAAACTTAAGTATAGGACGAACAAAAATGCCAACCAAAACTGATAGCATATTTTGATTATAGACCCTTTTGGTAACACTAACATGTATTTATCAAAATCCCAGCTTATCCTATTTTAAAGTTTTGCAAACTTTTTTGTTTTTCTGATTCTATATATTATTTTGCAATTATTGTACTAAAACTACCTATACAATTTTAATAAAATTAAGCAAAATAATAAACTTTGTATCATTTAAATTACCTTACTCCCCAGTATTAATTTATTGAGTCACCTATTATTCTTTACCACTCAAAACAAAACATAACAAAAAAAAACGAAGATTTATATCTTAAATATTTTTTATAACAAAAAATACTGGAAGTTTGTCTATGAAATAATTACAACTTGCAAATTTTGTAAAACAATAATTAAGGTGGTTATGAAAAAAATTATAACGCAAGTGACATTTTGCTTTAGTTGTTTATTTAATGTATACTTTATAAAGTTAAAAATAGTATTTTAAAATGAAAATTAAACCGAAATTCAAGTTAAGCCATGAAGAAAATCGAAAGAAGGTATGTGCTGGCTGTGGAGACAAAATTGTTTTTGGTAATCGAAAAATTCAGAGTTTAGGGTTTCTGAGAAAATATTAAAATTACTGCAGACTTTTTCAAACGAACACTTTAACTTAAGTGATTCAAAATTACCTACTTCAATATGGTAAAAACGGTATTTTTCCATAGCCACAATTGCCAAATTTTCAAAATATAGAAATTGCTAGAGAATTTCGCGGCAGCCAAGAATGTATGTGCTTTATCTGCAAAATGGCAAGATATAAAGGGCATAAAAATTTTTTAAGGGAAGAGGACGGACGAACGAACTAAAGTTTTGATATGCTCTTCCTTTCTAGGGGATATCGCTAGATGTAAGAAGCATGTTTGTACAGAGACTGAAGAATTTAAAAATACTGTTTCCATGTTAAAAACAATTCCATGTAAAACCCAAGAAAAAATTTTACTGAAAATTTAAGGCAAGCAGTAATCGATTTTGCTTCAAAGAATCTTTAGTTATTTATTAGTTTTGTATTAGATACCTTAAAACAATAAATAAGATATTGCAAACTGTATTTTACATTATTTTGTATTTATAATGTAATTTATCCATATTTCAGTCATGTATCTGCCAAATTTTTAAAAACATTTGATAATGGTACTAGAGTATTTTATCGAAATGGCATAAACAATTTTAAAATACTAAGAAATATGCAAAACTTTAATAAAGGATCAGCTGGGATTTTGATAAATACATTTTAGTGCTACCAAAAGAGTCTATAATCAGATTATGCTATCAGTTTTGGTTGGCATTTTTGTTCGTCCTATACTTTAGTTTTGACCACCGTGGTTAGTACAGCAATATTCAAATCTGGTTGATCAAAAAGTACACACCAGTGCAGGTTATTGTAGCATCTTCGAACAAATGAATTATTGGCCCATTGGCAATTATTCCTTTGGGAAAAATATTCAACACAGCCTAATTAATTAATAAAATGAACAAAATCACAACCATGTCCTATATAGTGTTTTTTTTCAAGCTTAAATAAGTTTTATATCAATACTAGTTGAAAAGTCAAATTACGACCTCTAATACTGTGGAGAGTATTGAAACAACTCTATACCGTGGCGATGGTTTAGAAAACTCTATTCAAACGTGGTGTCATCCAATTGGATTAATACACTTCTATAGTTTTCCTTTTGCTGTGTAGGTATAGTGCTCACCTTTCATTTCGTTGTTGGCTGCGTTTTTTACCGCACACTTGATGTCGTCGTAGTTGGTGGATTTGTCCAATCTGATGGTGACGTCAACTACCGACACGTTAGGCAAGGGAACCCGGAAAGCCATCCCAGTAACTTTGCCATTCAAGTCGGGAATAATCTTTCCCACTGCCTTTGCCGCACCTAAAAATGAAAGTGCTCATTCAAGAAAGAATGCAACTCAGGAACTTGGTTACATTTTTCGTTCAGTAACCACGGAAGTTTTTCAAAATGGGAAAAGCTCATTGATTAAAATTTTTAGTACTGAGAACAAAATAGATAAAAATTGGTGTAAGGGAAACCTTTAAAAACAAGTAATTCTCATCACCATAAAAAGAAAACATAGCTCTCTTAAAATGCCCAAGTTATTTGGAACCAGTCTGGAACTTTCAAACAAACTCAAATACTTGGAAATAATTCTAGACAATAAACTTAACTGGGGTAGTTATCTAAAGCACAAAGTTCAGAAGGCATCTGTGGTATAGTATAGAAAATACAAAGATAGTCCTCTGGTTGTACACTCCACAATTGTCCAGTGTGAAATCATAGGCATACTGGAAGCGGCCAATGTATTGGTAGTTTTGCGAGACCTACCTACCTCATTCATACTTTTAATTATTACGAGGTGTGTTCAGAAAATAACGGGAATTGTTAAATTTCGCGGCTTCGGAGGGTCCGGTTGCCATAAAATTTTCTTTATTATGTTGGTGTACCTACATGCCCCCGAAGTATGATAAAAACTTTAGCTGTTTTCATTGTTTACTTTGTCTGTGGCAGCCGCTAAGGTTGGACGTGTTTTATGAGCTCCGCGATTTTTCGTTCGTTAAAAGAAATGGATCAAAGAATTTGTATCCAATTTTGCTTAAAAATGAAATAAATTTTGTGAAATGTTAAGAAAGGCCTATAGTGAGTTTGCTAAAAGTAAAACAAGAGTTTACAAGTGGTATAAGAGTTTCCAAGATGGCCGTGAAGACGTTGAAGATGACGAACGCCCCGAACGCACAAGCGCATTAACAACCGATAAAAACATGGAAAAAGTGGAAGAAATGGTTATAAACCATCAGAGAAGTCGCTGATGATGTTGGTATATTGATTGGTTCATCCCATGAAGTTTTTGGAATGAAACGCTTGGCAGCAAAATTTGTTCTAAAATTATAAAATTTTGAACAAAATTTTTGGCCAAAAACAATACTGTAATGATGCCCCAGCCTCCATATTCGCCAGACATGCCTCTGTCTGACTTTTTCCTATTCCCGAAAATAAAGAGAACCTTAAAGGGCCGTCGTTTTGCAAGCATAGATGACATTAAAAGCGCATCGCTGAAAGAACTAAATGCTATCCCAAAGATCGAGTTTTGGAAGTGTTTCGAGTATTGGAAGAAGAGCTGGCACATGTGCATAACATCCAATGGGGACTATTTTGAAGGCGACAACATTAATGTGGACGAATAAATAAATATTTGTTTCAAAAAACGAAAATTCCCGATATTTTCTGAACACACCTCGTATATTATTATTACCTTACCGGTGGACGTTGGGATGATGTTGTTGAGGGTGCATCTGCCGAGTCTCCAATTTTTTTTGGCGACGCCGTCCAGAACGTTCTGCGACTGCGTGGCAGAGTGAACCGTCGTCATCAGAGCCTCCTTGATGCAAAAATTTTCGTGGACGATTTTTAGCAGTGGCGCCAAACAATTCGTCGTACAGGATGCCATCGACACGACCTTGGATTTCGGATCGTAGCAATCTAAAAGACATGTCGAGAAGATCTTGATTGTGGCACCCTTTAATCTATAATTTAGGCTTAAAGCCTAAATTATAGATTGCCTTCCTTCCTTCCTCCCGTAGTCGTGCCCGTACGATTTGTGCGTCTTGTAAAAAGTCAATTTATAGATTTCCGTGTAAAATTCCGTAACCATGCGCGATGACAACTAAAATGGTTGACATTTGTTTTTGTTTATATTCTGCGTTTTACCCATTGTGTGTAAATAAGAAAGATAATCATTTATATATTAGTGCAGTGATCACAATTTTAATTGCCCAGGCAGCTTGTTGTATACTGCCCAACTATGGAGAAAGGCAGTAACTGCTAAACAAGAAATTTGTGGGAAATTAGCATAAACTACATTTTTATAAAAAGCAGTAGGTATTTAACTGATCTATTTAACTTAAAAGATAGTTTACTGAATTTCTTTGTTGAATTACGATACAAAATGTCCATAGCTTTATCATAGCACAAGAAAACGCATTTGTAGTTACTGCCTTTTTCCATAGTAGGGCAGTATAATAAAAAAAACATCAAACAAGACGTTGGAAGACTCGCCCACTTTAGCAAGACCGGGAAACTACGGGGTTTTACAAAGCAACGTTTCTAAAAATGAAAGACATTGATCATAAACAATATCTAAATATCCTATTTAGAGACACAAATTATTTAATATACTAAAGAATCATGTATTTTAAATATTTTGCAATTACGCGCTTTCACCCTACAGCGCATGTCCATAACAAGCACTGATTGGTCATGTCAAAGACCTTTACGGTGAAAGATAAAATTTCTACGGGAGGAAGGAATGCCGTCCTTAAGGTTCGGGAATCTATAAATGGCGCTACGATTTAAATAAACATTTTTGACGTCATTGTCACCATTAACATTGCCCGTTATTAATTTTAATTAAACTTAACAATTATTGATACTTTAAAATATTAAAATAACTTCAAAATATGATTTTGTTAAGAAAATATTTTATTCTTTGATTTTTTTTTTATTACTATAATTGAAAAATATTATCACAAAGTATTAAAAATTCCTACACGGGAAATGTTAATGGTGTTACGTAATGTTCATCTTCTACGGGAGGAAGGATGACAGGAAGCTTCCTTAATCTATAACTCAGGCTTTATAAGCATAAGTATACTTGCTCAATTTTGGAAACTTTAAAAACTTGTGAAACGTAACAATGTTTTTTTTTTATCTTACCCAGGTTTACCCCGCAAACGAACATGGGCGCGTCTTTGGAAGGGGCGGTGATCAGAACTTTTTTCGCTTTATGTTTGCCAGCCTGCTCCATAGTCGTAAATCTTCCGGAAGATTCCACCACGTAATCGACATTCGCTTGTTTCCACGGTATTTTTTCCGGCTCCTTTTCTCCGAAAATTGTCACTTGGTTACCTGTCAAATCCAAAGTATTTAAATCCGGCGATCTCGGCGGCCACGCGTTTGCAATATTGTGAAAATATTTTCGATGTGAGAACTTTAATAGGGTAAAGTAGTTAGTAGTTATCGGACACTTTATAGTTATTGAACAATTAACATTAATACTATAAAAACAAGAGTTCTATAAATAGTTACCTTAAAGAAACTATTCCGATATTTTCTTTTAGTCACTGTATTAGTGAATTAAACTCTAATTTATAAACACAAGTGATAGTGTATAAAAATCATTTTAAGTATTTTTTTAACAAAAACTAAAAAAAGTAACGAAATAGACATTGGTATCACAACGGACAGGGGTACACAAAGGACTTAATCAGACGTAAAAAAGAAACTATATAGGGTGGTACGATTTTAAAGTAATACATACAAAATCCCTTGTAGTGGTGCTCACTTGCAGAATAACAACTTAGATTTCTAAATTGTAGACACCCTTTTACTTTGACTATAAGCTGGTGAAGGTCCCTTTTAGTACTTATATTGCGTGGAATTTTTCCTTGGATGTAATCTATATCATGAGTTGTAATTACAAATAATTTTAAATTGCAATTTAAAATTATTTGTAATTACAACTCATGATATAGATTACATGGTTAATCATAAACTACTTTTAATAAAAGCGACGGTAAATATCCACTTTGTTGTCGAAAAATTCTATTGCGTTACCCAAAATTCCATTGCGTTACCATAAGGTAACATAGTGGACTCGGTAACGCAGTGGACAAAGTTATGTAAAACCATATTTAAAAAATAATAATAAGACATTACAGTCATTAATTACTCTCAATGCCCTAAAATAAACATAAACATGAAAAATAGTATTTTTTCTTACCTTATTTTTATTATTTTTTTTGAGTAACTTAGCGGACAAACAATTATTACATTCGCGTTACCCGCACCTGTTTCAACCGATATCTTCTTCCTGATTGAATAAATAAATTCAGCTGGGTAATGTGTACGACCGAACATCATTTGTTGATCACGTGAGTACCAAAAAAGTTGCCATATATATGTTTTTTTTTAATATTCTATCGGTAACGCCATAGATAACAAAGCCTTTTTGGGTAACGCGACGGACGTAACGCAACGGAAAAAATGTCTGGGACAAGTCCACATGTCAAATTACTATATAAAATGTCCAATTACTATACTTTTTGCATGTTTTTATAAAACTATTATTAAAAATATTTAAGTAAAAGTAAATGAAGTTTTTTTTACAACTTATAAACGTTCTTGGAACAAAGGATTAGTTTACTTACCGTTTACCATCAAACCATCTTCTTCGGCTTTGATTTTGGCGTCCCAAGTTCCGTGGACAGAATCGTATTTTAGTAAATAAGAGGTAATTTTGGGGTCCATTGCTGGGTCATTTAGAGCACAGATTTTTAGACCTTTTTCGGTCAAAATCCTAAATAGGATGCGACCAATGCGCCCTGAACCGTTAATTCCCACTCCTTTCGACATGATTTTTATATGAAATGCTACTGAAAATTTTGATTACCAAATGTTAGTGTCACATCGCCATAATTCAAAATGACTTTAATTCCCTGTCATAACAAAGTTGGTTGCATTGATTAAACCAAACCAAACTATAGTTATAAATGTAATTACAATGTAATTGTGGTTGTCAAAATTCGTAGTTAAAAATGCAATCAATTTGGCTTTGGTGGTGCGTAGATGAGTAAAATCATATAAAAAAGTAGTTAAATATAGGTGACTACGGCCCAGGAAAGACAAAGTAATCCTTTTGTAAAAATAAAACTCATTCTATCATGGCTGTCATTAAACTGTCAAATATCAATTTTAAGGTTAATTTACCATAACCCACAAATTTACCATACCAACAAATTAACCTTAAAATTGACATTTGACTAGTTAAAAGATGTTAATTATTTATTAAGGCAGTAAAGTCGTATTTTTTATCATTTGATAAAAAATGACTTTAATGCCGAGGTGCATATTAAATTGTATCCGAAATCGCATTCAATAATACTAATAATTAATATTAATGATCAAATTAAATGTCATTTGAATGTAGTGTCTACGTACCGTATACTGTTTGTTGCGACGGTTATGATATATTTGATATAAAGGGTGTGCCATCTGTAAGTTGAATTTTAAACTACGTGCTATTAATGAAGCTTTCAACTTAAGCGCCATAAATTGCTGACAGTGGTTTAGTTTTAACCTTCCGATTACAAAATATGCACCGAATAAATTTGGATCAACGTTTCGAAATACTCAAAACTTACTTTGAATGTGACTGTGATCGCAGAGACGACAAGAAAATTGCGTTTGGAAGAAATGAGGCGCCGTCAAACCAAAGTATTACAAATTTGATCAAAAAATTGCGCAGAAATGGAATGCTGGTGGACATAAAACATGTTTCGCTTGCTCGTCCTAGACGTACACCTGAAGCAATCGCTGCTGTGGCCGAAAATGTACGCATGAACGCGTCAACATCAACTCGGCGCAGATGTCAACAACTCGGCCTTTCCCGTACCACTCTGAGGATGATTCTGCACAAAGACCTCGGTATGTTTGCGTACAAAGTCCAGCTTGTTCAGGAGTTAAAGCAAGTTGACCATCCACAACGTTTTCGCTTTGCTGAGTGGGCTTTAAACCAGTTCAACGGTGACCCTAATTTTGCAAGAAAAATCATCTTTTCGGATAAGGCGCATTTTTACCTCGGAGGTTATGTCAACATGCAAAACTGTAGGATTTGGCCACGTTAAATCCACACGTCGCCGTAACAAAGCCTATTCACCATTTAAAACAAAACATTCAAGCTTAAATTGCCTAAATAGAGCAGCAAACTTTTGACAAAGTGCTCGAAAATTGGTTTTCCAGGATGGGCTACTGCCGACCCAGCTGAGGTGGCCACTTAAATAAAATCATTTTCCATACTTAATCGGAAGAAACATTGTATCAAATAAAGCAAAATTCGTTAAAAAAAAAACAGTTTTTCTTGTTCTCATTGCTATTTTAAAATCAACAAAAACATGGGCCACCCTTTATATGATATATAATTAACTTATTATTTTATTAAACAACATTTTATGAAAGGGACCAATCCACATCCACAACAGTTTTTTTAAATATGATTTAGTTGCTGCTGAGGATTAGTAGACACATCTTAAATGTATAATGGGTTGCATATAATACTCGTATTACATCGCCAGTAAAGTTTTAATTCACTGCCGATTGTTGACTACTTTACTACCTACATTCATTTTTTTGTTAGGTTGGTCTCTTATGCCAGTTTGACTTATTGAGTATTTTTAGTATTTAAAAATGGTACTTCTGCTAAAGAATTTAATTAAATACCTTTACACTGTCAAGTTGACAATAATATTTATTATTTATAATTTACTTGTCAATTATAAATAAAAGATAATTATGCCAAAAATAATAGCAACGAATTAAAAGCCCTTTTGAGGGCAAAACTTCATTTTGATGAAATTATGCTAAATGCCACAATGGAAGAAAAAGTACATCGCCTTATGGACATTTTTGGAGTAAAAAAGTAACGAATTTGGTTTTATAAATATTACATCACACATTATTTTCACATTATTCACCGTTGGACAACATTTACGTTCACAAAAAATTCTAATTTCTTTTATATAAATTCTTTTCAAAGCGAATATTATTATCCGCTAGGAATACTTTCTTTTCTGGGCCGTAAAGCAACCTATATTTAACTACTTTTTTTATATGATTTTACTCATCCAAGCACCACCAAAGCCAAATTAATTGCATTTTTAACTACGAATTTCGACAACTCAACTTGACAACTGCACAATGTAACCTACAATAATTTATACATAACCACAATTAGATTTATAACTAGCTTAGTTTGTTTTAATCAATGCGACCAACTTGATAACTGTATTTACCAACCAAAACCCTAAATTTGCAACGTTGCCGCAGTCCATATAAAAAAAATGAACTTTATTTCGGATAAACATTTTTGTTCATATAAATTAAAACTATTTTAGTTTTTCTTTTAATTTTCATAGACACTCATGTATGTTTATTTTAGAAGCAAGTTTTTATTTTTTTTCTCTTAAAATCTCTATAAATAAAAACAATGTTTCTGAAAAAAAACATACCCCTTTCTCTTACAATCTTTATAAAGGAAAACAATGTTTCTGAAAAAAAAACCCCTTTGTTTTTTTTTAACGAATCTTTTTTTTCTGTTTAATCACTACATTTGACAGTTGAATTACATTTTTTTGGTACTTCTGCAGCTTCACTATTTGACTAAAATTACTTTTAGTTCAATAGTTTTTAAATAAAATCTTGGTAAAAGATCAATTGTGTGTATTATTTTTTTTGCAATATGGAATAGTTAATAAAAAACAATAATTTAGTTAACTTTGTTTATTTTTTTATAATGATTTTTGCTACTCAAGTGAACTTTAAACTGCGTCTCGGAATTTAAGGTTATGTTGCAGGACTGACAGTAATAATTTCCACTGGGAGTTCTATAAGCCGATAAATCCGTTTGTTCGACAATCCTTGATTTTGCTTCGACATGGACTGTAAAAAAACAAAAAAAAAAAAACGTAATTTTTTCCCTCAAAAAAAATTATTAATTTGTACCTACCTTCAGGGTCCAACCGGATGCCCAGCTGTTTCATTTTCTTCAAATGTTTTTGACCTTTGTAATGCATGTCGAGTTGCTGTTGACAGGTGGCTCCGACGTTGCAAATATCGCAGTGAAACTTGGCAACGCCGGCGGCCGGCATTACCGGCCCAAGCACCGGCGCGACAGCCGGCTTGGGCCGGAAGTCGAGCCCGAAAGTGTCCGAGCCGGAAGCGATGTCGGTTTTTTTCTCCGATCTGTGAAATTGTGGCAAAAAAAAAATGTTGGTCCACTATCTTTAATTATCTGTTTAGGTTAGGTCTCGTACCTAACCTAAAAGATCGTATGCCGGTATTTTGAACACCCTGTACTTACTTTAATCTCACCCATTTTCCAGAATCATTCCAGAATCCTTTTCCAGCAGGAGTTTTATGACCCATAATTGCCCTGAAATTGTTTATATTGATGAAAACAATGTTTTGCAAATAGGTAACAAAAAAAATAATTTGTTTGAAATAAGTCTTACTAAGTCAGACTAATAGCAAGAAGACATGTGCTCGACTTGCTTTCATTGTTGCCACTGTACGTTTTATTTTAATAGTTTCTTTTTATATACGCAAATATTCATATGACCATTGTTCCAAACAATTCTTCTAAAAACAATAAAACATGTGTACTTCTAGACGCAATACTGATTTTCGCAGTTGACCAATTAGATCACAACACAAAAACTATGTTTATAAATTCTTTTTTCTACTCCTTTTACGGAATTTGACCGTTCTAATATCACTTTTATCTATGGAATGACATATATTCCGTAAAGTGTTACAGAATGAAATATTCTATCATCTGATGACAGAATAAACACTCTTAGCGACATCTCTGTTTTTAATATCTAACAAATTTTGGACCGATCCAACTTCACTTTCATTTTTCATTAAATTATTTTTCTATGGTATTTTTTTGGAAACGTTCCAGAAGACTCCCAAATCTTGCTATTAGTCTGACTCACTAAGACTTATTCTGAGTTTTTAAGAGAAAGTAAGACTTTTTTAGAGAATTTTTTTTAAATAATTGCATATTTTTTTAAATTTAAGCGCATATTTCAAGCCTACTCCACCTACAGACACCTGTTTCGGTCTTTCGGGCCTCATCAGTGCCGGTCAGCCGTGTGGTGTGGAGCACGCTTCTAAACGCACTACCACGACGCTGTCAAGCCCTTTACTTACTTTTGATGATTTTTTCCCATGTAATGCGACTCTGCGTGCAATTTTCCGGTCAAAGGCAAATCGCACACTTCGCAGTGAAAATACCGCGGATCTTTGGATTCCTTAAAAAATCAATTACGATAATTTTACACGCAAATACGAGATAACTTACATCGTCAGTAGACTTGGCAACGGAGACTTTCGCTCTCTTGTGCAGAGGCTCTCCGGTGCGTTCCGCGTGTTCGATCAGAAATTTTTTGATTTTTTTTTCGTGGTTTTTCGACTTGTAATGCAACTTTGCCATCACGTTAGAGCTCAACTGAGCCAAGCAAAGTTTGCAGTACAGCGGTTGAAAAAGCATCGTTAGCTCTTTCGGCAACGTGGCATCGTTGCAATCGGGCACCGTTTGCCTAACTAAAAAACAACGCAATGTCATTGTCATTGTGCTTTTTAAACTACATTAAAAATCGGTTTTAAATACTTCTATACGAAATCGGCAGTAAAGTAGTCAACAATCGGCAGTAAAGTACAACTTTACTGCCGATTTAATACGAGTATTGTATGCAACCCATTATACATTTTAAGATGTGTCTACTGCTCCTCAGCAGCAACTAAATAATATTTTTAAAAAAACACCGTCGCGGATTAATAAAAATATTAAGTTAATTTTATTAATATACAGTGCTTGCAATATTAAGTCCGACGGCTCTGGCCAATCAAATTCTATTTGGCGTTCTATCCTTGTTCTTTTCACGCGGGTGTTGAACAACCGTCCTTTCCAGCCCGGTCGGACTTGATATTGCAAGCACTGTATAATAACCGTCGCAAACAGTACCTATACAGAGACACTTCCTACATTCAAATGACATTTGATTTGATCATCAAATGACATTTGATTTAATCATCAAAATTAATTATTAGTATTATTAAATGATTTCGGATAAAATTTAATATGCACCTCGGCATTAAAGTCATTTTTTATCACTCAAGTGGTTATTTATATATAAATAATTTCCACATTCGTGATAAAAAATACAACTTTACTGCCTTGATAAATAAATAACTATTATATCAAACAAACCAACTTAAATGATGATACTTACATATGTTGTTACTATAAGTTTTTGGTTTTTCTTTATGAGAAATAAGCGTGTTATATATTTGCTGCGTAATTGGTTCGCTGCTTGGTCCTGGCTATAAATGGGGAGAGTTTGAGTTTATAACGCCATATTCAGAACGCCCTGTATATTTACCTGTGGGTATTGATAATAACCAGCATCTGGGGGCTGCCAGGGTCCAAATAACCCCATCTGCCCATACTGGTAATTATAGTACGAATTGGCCAAAACGTTTTGTTGTACCAGCATTTCCTCGTTTACATTTTGAACTTTGGTTTCTTCGGCCTTTCTTTTCGGTATTTTGAAGTTTTTGTCAAAACCGTCTTAAAAAAATATGTAATAAAAACGTTTAAAAGTACGGTTAACTTTATAATAAAGTGAAATGCATATCTAAAAAAATTGGTCCAAAAAGTTCAGATCATTATTAAAACTTTCAACAATACATTTAAAGCATACTACCTGTACATCATTTTTAATTATTTTCACAAAAGAGAGGAAGGCAGAAATTCTTACTCGACAAATTTTGTTCAATTGCACAGCTAAATCGCGCACGTTATTTGCGTTTTACGTTGCAAGGAAAAAACTAAAAAACTGGTTTAGTACTCGATTTCAATAGATTATTCTTTATATCATTGATTAAGAAACTCAACGCTTAAATGCTTATATATTTACGTTAGTGTGTGTAATCAAAGGGATCATAGTGAATTATTGCGTTTTTAATTGTAAATAAAATTCAAGAACTAAATCGTTGCATTTTCATGTTTTGCCAAAGGATCAAATTCGGTAAGTACATTTGTTGGTGCAGAATTAACTAATGACAACTTTACCTAATATAATTTATATTTAAGTTTGGACATTTTTAAGAAATTAGTAAAAAATAATTTTTGCACAAACATAACCTTAAAATCAACCATTTTTATATTTGAGTTCTCTAAAAACAACAAAATATACCTACGAATTCATGGTAACATAATATTATAAATAATACATAATATAATGGTATTTTCCCGTTTTTAATAATGCTAAATGCTGTTTAAATTTAGACGACTTATTTGTTTGACGATTATTACTGAATTGAAATGTTTACACTTTTCACGTTAATCATTACTAAAATGTGTATTTATTGTATCTAATAGATACAATTTATATTTACAGGGACTGTATGCAATTTATTTCTTCATTCAGATTAAAACTGTTTATTGGAAAACCGATAAAAACTCAATCCAGGATTTCCTCTCGAAATACACCCAACAACACAACAAATTGTGCCACGGTTTTTTTTTCGATATTTTTTAACATTTTCCGGCTTTATTCTCAAAAACACTCGTTTGTAACACACGCGTTTGACAGCTGATTATCAAAAGTTGTACTTTTGTTACGACGAGTGGTAGCGCTAATAGCGATACTTCTTTAGCGTATAGTTTTCCAATGAAAAGTCAAATCTCTAAAATTAATATTTTAAGAGATGGAAAATTTGTCAAATATAAAAATGAAATCAATTTTTTCTCGAATTTTATTTTTTTTTTAATTTCCTACAAAAAAATTATTTATTTTTTCTCTAGTCAACCGTTTACAAAATAAAAAACATTAATTTTAAAGGAAATTTTAGTACCTGATCCATATAATGATAATTACCCTTATTAACCTCTTTGGACGAAAAAATAGGGTTATGTTGATTTAAATTTACACAATATAAACTAAAATATTTTAGGGTTACCCCCTGGACCTTATGTATTTCTGGGTTTCTAAAATGTACAGTTAGGGCCACGTTGTCTTACATTCTTAAAGCAAAAAAGTTTAGTTCCAATGATAGATATGGATTTCACTGTACTTCAATAACTGCATTATAAAGTCGAAAATACGTAAATTTTTTATTGGAAATTATGTAAAAACATACCTGAATCATTATTTACATCACTATTATTACTCATATTTTAAATATCCACAATTATTCAATAAACAAATACAACTTTGACAATTCAATAATAAAAGTATCGGAAAATCATTCGGAAATGCCAACCTCGATAATCAAAACTTAACTTAGGCAACCCATGTTCCACAATAATATAACCGTGTTGCCTTAACACATCTAAATTGCTTAAATTAGAATTTAATATTTCTTTAATTAATACCTTATTTTTCTACATATGTTCTGACGTCGTGTTTTAAAATAATTGTGCAATTATAGTCAATTTATTATTAATTATTTTTTTATTAAGTGAGTTAACCATGTTTAGTTTTTTGGTAAGTTAATGTAATTTGAAAATACATAAAAAAGGGTTTTGTTTTCAAATCATAAATAATACCTACTTAATGAATTCATGAAATTATTGTACAGTACAATTTGGACTTACCTAGGAATCCAAGAAGTTTTACCTTGAATTTAAATTTATAATTAAAAATCGTGTGTAAGAATATTTTAATTTTAATGTAATTTATTTAAAATGTTTTATTAATACCTATTAGGCTTTTGAAAATTTACATTTTATTACAAATAAAAATAGTCAGTTTGTTGCCCTTTAAAAATGTTAAGTGTGCATTAGATTTGATACACTACATTTTAAACAAGGTAATTTATTAATAATGCTTATTAAAAATATATGATTTTAATATCTGGAAAACATTTTTTAAACTTCGTCCCGGTACATACCCCCAAGTGAAAATGATTGTTTTTTATGGGGTTTTTGGGAAGCCACCAGGTCTAGTAATAACATAAAATAAGTGGTTCTGCACTAATGCAAGAATTTTAAGAAATCATACATTTTAAATATTAGAGCTTCACGGAAGATAGCTTCACGGAGGTTAGGATTTCTTTTGTTTTTTTTAAACATCCCTTTGTATATTTGAAATAAGTTATTGTATCCTTTGACACCTTAATATTTTTAAAAAATACAAATGTACATACATACATAAAATATTTATAAAAAAAATCTACTTAATGAGATATTACACTTCACGGTGGATAGGTTTTTAAATAGCAAATTAATGAACTTAAACTTTTGAATTATAAAACAGCAACACTCTTATCTGCATATAAATTCTAACTGACCTTTAAGAATCACATGAATCTATAATGTCGTAAACAGCTTATTTAAAATGATTAAAGCGCCATCCGTTGCATAAAATTTAAAGCAAAAACAGATTCACGGAGGATAGAATCAATTTTTGTAACACCTACATAAATGGTTTTAAAAATTATTTCTTTTAATTTTTAATAATATTTTATATTTGATTCGATTGCTTTGGATGTGTTTAAATTACTTAGTGAACTGATCTTTTTAGTATGCTTTTACTATCTCTGATAAATGAAAACATATAGGTTAACCTAGAAAGAGTAACAGTCACGGAGGATAGGTTTTAGACTTTTGTAAAAAATAATTAATTGCGGTTAAAAATCTGGAACTTGAGCTGTAATATCTACTTAATTATGAAAGATCAAAACACAATAAAAGTGTAGGTCAAACTCATTTAGTTTTATTATTTTTGTATTTGTTATTTTTTAAAAGAAATAAAACACGCTACTGCTTATAATTTATTTTAATATTTGTTTTCTATCAAACCATTTCAAATAAAATTTTGTTGTTTTTTATGGGTTTTTGACAGTTTTTTCATATTTTCATGCTAGAAAAAAATAGTGTACGCTAGGGTAGTTAGTGAAGTCCGAACAAACCTAATAACTTGATTGTTTTATTCTTACGTTTTCCAGCCTGTATTTTATCACATAACCTCAATTTTGTAGTATTGTTTACAAATTTATTACAGTTATTTCACGTAATTTATTAAAATTAGGTAAGTTTTAACCTAGATAGGCATTTATTATTATTATAGCCAATATTTATTTACTTTGATAAAGTTTAAAAACAATTTACAGGGTATATAAGCAGTTATTATAAAGTATTATTTTTTTTGGTAGAATGATAGAGTCAAGCTCAGTTACAAATGATTTCGATTCTTTAACACATGAAGATTTGCTGGAAATATCCCAAAGCAGTCTAAAAAGATTGATAACAACTGACACCTTACTACGGGATTTACCGGTTGATGTTACAGTCGAAGAGGTTACATCTCAGATTGCTTTGCTTCAAGGTCAAAGCATAACAGTAACAGTTTATCGATATTCAGAGAGTTCATTAAATGTAGTTGTAAGTATATAGATTTTTTTTGTGTTATGTACGGGAAAAGTATGTTATTTTAGATACCCCAGCAAGGAGCAACTGTTTTAGACTTACGTAGAGCAATTCAAAGGTGTTACACCTTGAAACAACAACGGCAACGTAGCAAAACGAAAATCAGTTGGAAATATATTTGGAAAACGTATTATTTGCAAAACGTTGATACCAGACAGGTAAGGTTTATATACAGGGTGTAATAAAACGAATCATGATATATTTTAGGTTTTGAGGGATCACAAAAAATACGTGTCTGACTATGGAGTGCAAAACAGATCTGTAGTAAGATTCGTGAAAAAGTTGCGCAAAGAAAATCCCTTTGAAAACAATGTTTAAAAACCACCAAAATGTTTTTGTTATGTTATGTTATTTTATTGTTAATTTATTTGGTAAAAGGTGATGATAGCTATCCTTGGTTAAACCAAGTTCTAAGGCAGGAAAAATTATACAAAAATTGTGATGTTTTGCACCTGAAAAGAGATTATTTGGACACAAACACATTAGATCACATCTTAGTTGACCATAAGCATAAATTACTGTATTGTTATGTACCGAAGATAGCTTGCACAAATTGGAAAAGAGTTTTAATGGTGTTAACAAACCAATCAAATGCTTCAAATTTGGTGGACATACCTTCAAATTTAGTCCACTCAAAAAATGCCACCGTAAAGTTATCGGATCTGGACAAAAACCTTGCCAAAAAATGCTTAGAAACATACACCACATTCTTAATGGTTCGACACCCATTTGAGAGGATTTTATCGGCGTATAGAAATAAATTTAATGGAAATTACACGAACTCCAAATACTTTCAGGTAAATAATAATAATTTTAAGTTATATAACATTAAATTCACGGTTTGTCGTTACGTTAAATGTTAACTTTGTTTTGCTGTATCTTCAAAACTAATCGTCCGATTTTTATTTTCTTTGCGTCCCTAGATTCTACAATTCATCAGGGAAAATTTAATGTGTTAAACGTTTAAAACCCCTTTGTAATGACGTCACAATTCGGTTAAATAGATGTCGCTGTTATCGTGACATTTTATATTTTAGTTTGTAAGTAAAAAACTAAAGATCCTATTTAAGTTTTGGTTGTTTCTATAGATTGACCATGATTTTGAGAATCTTTTAAGATGTAAAACGTTAATTTCCGTCCACAAATTAAGTCGTGATCATCGAAATACGTTAACGTTTTGTCGTTACGTTAATTTGCTTTCATCGTATCTCCAAAACTAATCGTCCGATTTTTATTTTCTTTGCGTCCCTAAATTCTACTATTTATCAGGGAAAATTCAATGTATAAAACGTTAAAATCCCGTTTGTAATGACGTCACAATTCGGTAAAATAGATAGCGCTGTTACCGTGACATTTTATATTTTAGTTTGTAAGTAAAAAACTAAAGATCCGATTTAAGTTTTGGTTAATTCTTTAGGTAAAGCATGATTTTTAGAATCTTTTAAGATGTAAAACGTTTATTTTCGTCCACGAATTAAGTCGTGATAATCGAAATACGTTAACGTTTTGTCGTTACGTTAATTTGCTTTAATCGTATCTCCAAAACTAATCGTCCGATTTTTATTTTGTTTGCGTCTCTCTATTCTACAATTCATCAGGAAAAATTCTATGTGTAAAACGTTAAAATCCCGTTTGTAATGACGTCCCAATTCGGTAAAATAGATGGCGCTGTTATCGTGACATTTTATATTTTACTTTGTAAGTAAAAAATTAAAGATTCGATTTAAGTTTTGGTTGTTTCTATAGATTGACCATGATTTTGGGAATCTTTTAAGGTGTAAAACGTTAATTTCCGTCCACGAATTAAGTCGCGATAATCGAAATACGTTAAGGTTTTGTCGTTACGTTAATTTGCTTTAATCGTATCTCCAAAACTAATCGGCCGATTTTTGTTTTGTTTGCGTCTCTGGATTCTACAATTCATCAGGAAAAATTCAATGTGTAAAACGTTAAAATTCCGTTTGTAATGACCCCGCAATTCGGTAAAATAGATGCCGCTGTTACGTTACACGTTACACTTTATTTTGTAAGTAAAAAACTAGGAACCCGATTTGAGTTTGGTTGTTTCTAAATATTGTTCATGATTTTTGGAATGTTTTAAGATATAAGTCGTTAAATTCGGTCCACAAATAAAGTTGGAATCACCAAAATACGTTAACGGGTTTCACATTACGTTATTTTTGATTTTTCATATTTTGAAAACCTACTGTTTGATTATTATTTTATTTGCGTCCCTAGATTCTCCAACTTAAAATGAAAAATTACGCCCTAACACATTGCATTCGTCGAAAAAATAAACCCCTTAATCGCACAACCAAAAAATTCCTGCTGTGTAACCTGCGACATTTTTTTTAGAAACGGTATGGCAAACACATCCTGAAAAATTACAGGAAAGACGCCACGAAGCAGGAACTTAAATCCGGCGCTAACGTCACATTCAGGGAGTTCGTGAAATTCCTGCTGAACGAAGGTCAGCAGGCCAACGAGCATTGGACGCCGATTTTCAACTTGTGTCAACCTTGCGCGGTAAATTACACTTTCGTAGGTCGGTACGAGACCTTGCCGCAAGATTCAAACACGCTCCTGCATATGATTGGCGCGCCACCGATTGTTTTTCCTGCCACCAGGATCGAGCACACCAGCGTGTTGCTCAGGAGTTTCATGCAGGAGTTGTCCATCATGGAAATAAAGCATTTGTACAAGTTGTACGAGTATGATTTTAGATTGTTTGGGTACAATTTGGAGGGGGTGCTAGGGTTTGATTTAGCTTAATTTTGTACATTTTTTAATAAATATTTTTTTATTAATATTGTTTTACTTGATTCCCTGTAATTTTGCGATCATTTTAAGTCCTAGAACGTCAAATTCGACTTGTAAATAACGCCACAATCATCAAAGTAAATTAACGCTTTGTCGTTACGTTAAATGTTTTGCTGTATCTTCAAAACTAATCGTCCGATTTCCATCTAGTTTGCGTCGCTAGATTCTACAATTCATCTAGGAAAATTTAACGTACAAAACGTTAAAATCCCGTTTGTAATGACGTCACAATTCGGTAAAATAGATGGCGCTGTAATCGTGACATTTTATATTTTACTTTGTAAGTAAAAAACTAAAGATCCGATTTAAGTTTTGGTTGTTTCTATAAACTGATCATGATTTTAGGAATCTTTTAAGATGTGAAACGTTCATTTCCGTCCACAAATTAAGTCGTGATAATCGAAATACGTTAACGTTTTGTCGTTACGTTAATTTGCTTTAATCGTATCTCCAAAACTAATCGTCCGATTTTTATTTTCTTTGCGTCCCTAGATTCTACAATTCATCGAGGAAAATTTAACGTACAAAACGTTAAAATCCCGTTTGTAATAACGTCGCAATCCGGTAAAATAGATAGCGCTGTTATCGTGACATTTTAAATTTTAGTTTGTAAGTAAAAAACTAAAGATCCGATTTAAGTTTTGGTTGTTTCTATAGATTGGCCATGATTTTTAGAATCTTTCAAGATGTAAAACGTTAATTTTCGTCCACAAATTAAGTCGTGATAATCGAAATACGTTAACGTTTTGTCGTTACGTTAATTTGCTTTAATCGTATCTCCAAAACTACTCGTCCGATTTTTATTTTCTTTGCGTCTCTGGATTCTACAATTCATCAAGGAAAATTCAATGTGTAAAACGTTAAAATCCCGTTTGTAATGACGTCGCAATTCGGTAAAATAGATGGCGCTGTTATCGTGACATTTTATATTTTACTTTGTAAGTAAGAAACTAAAGATCCGATTTAAGTTTTGGTTGTTTCTATGATTGATCATGATTTTGAGAATCTTTCAAGATGTAAAACGTTAATTTCCGTCCACAAATTAAGTCGTGATAATCGAAATACGTTAACGTTTTGTCGTTACGTTAATTTCCTTTAATCGTATCTCCAAAACTAATCGTCCGATTTTTATTTTATTTGCGTCCCTATATTCTACAATTCATCGAGGACAATTTAACGTACAAAACGTTAAAATCCCGTTTGTAATGACGTCGCAATTCGGTAAAATAGATGGCGCTGTTATCGTGACATTTCATATTTTACTTTGTAAGTGAAAAACTGAGAACCTGATTTAAGTTTTGGTGGTTTTTAAAAATTGTCCATGATTTTAGGAACGTCCTAAGGTATAACACGTTAACTTTGACTTTGTAATTAACGCCGCAATTGTCAAATTACGTTAACAGTTTGTCGTCAAGTTTATTTTATTTCGTCAAGGTACCAAACACACAATTTGTATCAACATTTTATTCAACTTCACTTGTAGAATTTCACAATAATAACAACAAAGACTAATGCATGTACATTTAATTTATTCCTCCTGAAAATAAATCGAAACTAAATTAAATAAATGCACTAAAAACCTCCTTATGAACACTTTGGGCTGATGGTTTGTTACAGGAATTTCACTCCGATTCCGAACTGAACGCCTGACTGCGTGTGGTCGCCTTTATCGAACGTCAATGGAAAGCAATAGTTGACTTCCAAGCGCGCCATGTTGCCTAATCTCAATGCCAAACCCAATCCGTAAGACACACGCATGTTTTTCTGGATGGTTGACAGTAGGTTGCTGTCATCTAAAAATATAACATTAAAAAACGTTTTCCATGATTTCGGGAACGTTTTAAGATGTTAAACGTTAAATTCCGTCCACAAATAAAGTCGTAATATTCGTAACACGTTAACGTTTGTCGTTACTTTAATTTGCTTTAATCGTATCTCTAAAACTAATGGTCCGATTTTTGTTTTGTTTGCGTCTCTATATTCTACAATTCATCAGGAAAAATTCAATGTGTAAAACGTTAAAATCCCGTTTGTAATGACGTCGCAATTCGGTAAAATAGATGGCGCTGTTATCGTGACATTTTATATTTTAGTTTGTAAGTAAAAAACTAAAGATCCGATTAAAGTTTTGGTTGTTTCTATAGATTGACCATGATTTTGAGAATCTTTTAAGATGTAAAACGTTAATTTTCGTTCACAAATTAAGTCGTGATAATCGAAATACGTTACCGTTTTGTCGTTACGTTAATTTGCTTTAATCGTATCTCCAAAACTAATGGTCCGATTTTTGTTTGGTTTGCGTCTCTATATTCTTCAATTCATCAGGAAAAATTCAATGTGTAAAACGTTAAAATCCCGTTTGTAATGACGTCGCAATTCGGTAAAATAGATGGCGCTGTTATCGTAACATTTTATATTTTACTTTGTAAGTAAAAAACTAAAGATCCGATTTAAGTTTTGGTTGTTTCTATAGATTGACCATGATTTTGAGAATCTTTTAAGATGTAAAACGTTAATTTTCGTTCACAAATTAAGTCGTGATAATCGAAATACGTTACCGTTTTGTCGTTACGTTAATTTGCTTTAATCGTATCTCCAAAACTAATCGTCCGATTTTTATTTTGTTTGCGTCTCTATATTCTACAATTCATCAGGAAAAATTCAATGTGTAAAACGTTAAAATCCCGTTTGTAATGACGTCGCAATTCGGTAAAATAGATGGCGCTGTTATCGTGCCATTATATATTTTAATTTGTAAGTTTTGGTTGTTTCTATAGATTGACCATAATTTTGAGAATCATTTAAGATATAAAACGTTAATTTTTTTAAAATTTTCCCACTGGTAAACAAAACAAATTTAAGCAAAAAAAAAAAATTTAGCCAACATTTCGATGCAAAAAAATCATCACTCACCCAACTTGAAGTCTCCAACGTTGCCGGCGTTCACGAAGAGGTGGGTGCGGAACAGTTCGCCGAACCCACCTCTACCTGGCCTGAACGGCAACGGCGCAAACAGGTGCAACCCTGCAGCCCAGTAGCACATCGACCCCAAGGCGTTGCCTTCAGAGTGGGGCCCTACGCCCCTCAGCTGAAAGCCCCTGACGCTCAGGGGCCCACCCAGGTAAAACATGTCGGCCATGCTGATCTTCATGTCGGGACTTGTCGGCGTCATGACGCCGCCGGTGAGGCTGCCTTGGAAAACCTACAGGAAAACAGTGTTTTCCTGTACGTGTACTTTTCTGTCTAGGGTCATTCCATGACAAACTATACGCTAAAGAAGTATCGGGTTTTCGCAACGCGCGCGCCATCTGGTGGACCGATAGCGAGAAAAGCGACTATCGATAATATCGATTAACTATCGATAGTTAACTTAAATTTCAAAACCGTATAGTTAACATTTTATTAAAAAATAAGATTTATTTTTATAGTGGCACATTTTCAACCTACCAAATACAGGAGAGTCAAAAATATAGTATGGTATTTTAATATAAATATCTACCTTATAACTAGTTATTAAAACCTTTATATCAAAATCTATAATACCTATCGAGTTTCAAAACAAGGATCTCGAACTTAATAGGGGAAATTGACAAAACCTGCCCTCTAAATTGCACAAACTAAGTCTAAACTAAATCGTGCACGTTATTTGTGTTTTACGTTGCAAGGAAAAAACTTAAAAACTGGTTTAGTACTCGATTTCGATTGATTATTCTTTATATCATTGATTAAGAAACTCAACGCTTAAATGCTTATATAGTTACGTTAGGGTGCGTATTTTATCTAAGGGATCATGGTGAATTATTGCGTTTTTAATTGTAAATAAAATTCAAGAACTAAATCGTTGCATTTTCATGTTTTGCCAAAGGATCCAATTCGGTAAGTAAATTTGTTGGTGCAGAATTAACTAGTGATAACTTTACCTAATATAATTTATATTTAAGTTCGGACATTTGTAAGAAATTAGTAAAAAATAATTTTTGCACAAACATAACCTTAAAATCAACCATTTTTATGTTTGAGTTCTCTAAAAAACGCCGACAACTGCATTTTAAACAACAAAATATACCTACGAATTCATGGCAACATAATATTATACATAATACATAATATAATGGTATTTTACCGTTGAGTGGAGACTTTCTTAATCAACGCTTTTAATAATGCTGTTTTAATTTAGACGACTTATTTGTTTGACGATTTTTACTGAATTGAAATGTTTACACTTTTCACGTTAATCACCACTAAAATGTGTATTTATTGTATCTAATAGGTACAATTTATATTTACAGAGACTGTATGCAATTTATTTCTTCATTCGAAATAACACTGTTTATTGAAAAACCGGTAAAAACTACGATGATAACAGCCGAGTGGTGGCGCTACTAGCGATACTTCTTTAGCGTATAAGATCGTTACTTTACTGTCTACTTACAATGTCCTCCATTACGGAATAGTTGCTTTGGAAAGTGAACTTGTTCTTTATGAAGCCGACGTCGCCACCTAGGCCGGCGAATTCCGATGTCAACTCGAACAAACTTCCCTGCGTGGGAAATATTAGGTCGTCCCTTAGATCCATCGATAAAATGTGTCTTAAGGCCGACTTTAAACTCAAACCGGATTGTTCCCTAACGTCGAAAGAAGTGGAACGACTCAAACAGTTGAAATCCCTTACGTCGCCACTCCATTGTAAATTATGTTTCACCTAGAAAAATTTTTTTTTTTTATTTGAAGCTTTGCAATAATTTGGATGATGTGTTCGTGATATTTTACGAGTTAAAACTACCCAAATAATTTTTACCCTGATAGCACACTTTATTCTAAGAATGCTTTTTAAACCTTCCATTGAGAATATTTTAGGATCATGCTATATTTCTTCTAAAGAACATGCTTAAAAGACATATAGCATGATCCTAAGAATATTCTTACTGGCCTATAGGCAGGTTCTTAGAAGGAGCAAAGTTTTAGTGCTAAAAATTAGTCTACTCTAAACATATGCTTAGAATGTTAAGAAAGTAATTGCTATAGAAAGTTCATTTAGGAATATTCCTGTTAAGCATATTTAGTTCAGTTACCTATATAATAGTAAAATATACCATAAACTACGTATATATATATACTTAAGTACCTAATTAGTAATTAGTATTAAATACTAACTAAAAAACACAATCCAAAATATTTTTTTATAGTTATTTGTCAAATTAAAACAATATTCGATAACAAAAATACTTTTACTATAGGTATTTTATTTTATGTTAAAAATAAATATTTATTAATTTGTATACCTAATTTTTATTTCTGAATTAACATTTTTATGTATAATAATCCTAACTATCTTCAACTTCAATCTAATCTGACTTATTCCACAAAATTTTCCAATTTTACTTTTTATGAAATAATGTCATACAACTTATGGTTTAGAGGTCAAATTGTTTATTTAATATTTTTAAATAAATATATATTAATATGTCGCAAAATTTTTTAAGGGGACGACAAATACCTTTTTTCACTGTCATATTATGACATTGAGGCGTATTTGTCGTCTCCTGAAGAATTTTACGAATGTAGAATACAACATATACAATGTGGGTATCTGACATATTTGGAAATATTCTCAAAAGCTTCCTAGAAGCTCCATAAGAAACCTTCTAAGAACATTCCAAAACGCATTCTTAAAATGTTCTTAGGATGCTTTTTAGGAAGGTTTTAAGAAGCTTTTAAGAATCTAATTGCATCATTAAAAGGGTATCTATTGAATGTTTTAAAAGTCCCTAAGAACATTCTTAGCATTAAGGGAAGGTTCTAAGAATATTCCATTATTCTGGGTCATATCTTCTTAGAAGATTCTTAAAATTTTGCTATCAGGGATACAACATTTTACTAGACAGGCATATTTTTTATTGATTTATAATACCAAATATCCTACGAATTTATTTTTTAATTTTGGTTTTAAAACTCCTGTTTCACATGACCGTCGTATGTCCCTCGAGCAAAATCCAATATTTGCGATCTTCTAAAAATTTAATTCAACTTTTAAGTAGCCAAAGAAAATGATATTGAACAAATATTGGTTTTTGTATTATAATATTGTTTTAAATAGCCATTATTGTTTATTTGTTTTTTGATATAGTTAAAGTTCTTCGTATTTTTTAGTTTTATTTATGTTATTTTTACCTATTTTACTAACCCTTAAGTTTCAACACTTTAAAGTATTATGAGGGACGTCATTTTTACGAAAGAAAATGACTTATAAGTGTATTTCACCTAAAGAAAAATTTAACGGTAATTTTAACGTCAGAATTTTTACTTAATGGTAAATGTTACTCATAAGTCATAATTTTACGATATTAAGACCACTTTATAACCGTAAATAATTCCTATTCGCCTGGTATTTTTAGGGTTATTAGTGGTAATAAATACCTACTTTTAATATTGACTAAACAAGGAAAAATAAGCTCAAAGTGAAAAAAGGAAAGTTTTAGTTATTAAAAAATGATTAAAACTAAATGATTTTTAAAAGATTTTATAAAATTTTGTAGGTTTTAAGTTTTGTTGAATTTTTACGCAAGCAATAATTTTCCTTAAAACTGTAAAATTTTTAGAGGGCATATAATTTTTAAGATGTATCGTGCCTATTTTTATCAATAAAATAATGCGCGTTTGAGTTTTAATGCAAAATATTATTAGTTTTGACAATTTAAGTTATATTTTTTAATTTTACTCTAGGGTGGCCTTTATACTTCGTAAGTACCATTTTGTAAAATATAAATTAAAAGAACAAAGAAATTACGAATGTTAATGTTTTAGAAAGAGAGAGCAAACAGTTAGTAATTATAGAGTTATTTTTACGTAAATTTGTGGTATTTATATTGTTTTTATTACGTTATACTCTTAGTAGATCAAAAAGGTTATTATGTAAGTAAAATAACAAAATAAAACATTCCCCAAATTTGGTAATTTGTCGTATCTATACCGTTATAAAACCGTTTTGGTTAACCGTAAAAAATACTTTAAAGTTAACTTAGTAGTAAATTTGTAGTTATTTAAACTTAAAAACATATTTTTACTTACCAGTGAAGATGAATGAAAGGCAAAATCCAACAACAAACCTCTTTCAATAGATTTGTATCCAGATGTTGGCCATTCTGAATGCGCTTGAAACAGTGAAGTGGTAAAACTACAAAAATTAAAAAAATACAAAAAATTGTAAATTTTTAAAGGGGGTTATGGGGCAAAAGGGCGGAGCTCACTTACACAGGTCTGTGGCGCCCTCTGAATGGTTTAACAAAACCAATGTTAAAATTGCTAGTTTTTTTCGATCCATGAGTGTACTCGACCTGTACTCTTTCCCCCCTACCCAATATATTTGGGGCCTTCATGCCCACCAAAAGAGCCCCCTCATTGTTACCAACGTGAGTACTAATACCACCTTGAAGAAAAAAAAACGATAATTTTGTCTTTATTTAAACTATAAACATTAGACTGGGCCAAAAAAATCGACTATTTTTTTTGTAAAGTATATCGAAAATATTGTTTGGGGTGACAAAAAAAATTATGGTGAAAGTTTGAGATTTTTTTTTCCTGAGCGAGTTTTTGTCTCAGAACTCCCAAACCATTGAGTTTAACAAAATTGACTTAAGAATATTTTTTGAAGAAAATTGAATGTTCTACAAAAAAGGTTTGATTGGAATTTCCCGTCAGATGAACCGTTTTCTAACAATCATGCTTTAAAAATTGGTATAGTTTTACAATTTGATCTTTTAACTTTGGAATTTTGTAATTCAAGTAAAAATCAGTACCCGGAAAAAAACCGATAGATATTCTTATGGGAAATCAAATGCTCTTAAATTCTTTTATCGATGATAATCTTTATGTTATTGATAAAATAACATCGCTTTAAGAAGCTATTTTCTTTAGAAAATATTATTTTCAATGTTACCTATTTAATCGTTTAAAAAATAACAATCACGTTGTTTTTTTATTGGAAATTGTTAATTAGTTATATAATACACATTTATAAAGAAAAAAATCAAATTATCACCCATAAAAAATAAATCTACAGAGGAAAAGCAAGAATTTCGTTTTGACTTCAACTTTAACCTTGAATAACTTTTGATGGAGCAAATTTAGCCAAAAATGTTGAGAGGCTTTTTTGTAAAGCATTTGATTTCCCATAAGAATATTCATCGGTTTTTTTCTGGGTACTGATTTTTACATGAATTACAAAATTCCAAAGTTAAAAGATCAAAATGTAAAACTATACCAATTTTTAAGGCATGATTTTAAGAAAACGGTTCATCTGACGGAAAATTTCATTTTAACCTTTTTTGTAGAGCATTTAATTTTCTTAAAAAAATATTTCTGAGTCAATTTTGTTTAACTCAATAGTTTGGAAGTTCTGAGACAAAATCTTGCTGAGGAAAAAAAATTTAAAATTGCGATAATAGGCCTCTTAATATTAATATTATGGACTCAGCTTTCACAATAATTTTTTTTTGTCACACCAAACCATATTTTTGATATACTTTTCAAGAAAAAAAAGTTGATTTATTAATAAACATTTGTAAAACATACTAACAATTTGTTAGTAACAAACAAGTTAGAAATTTAACCAAGGAAAAATTAAAATTACCTGTAAGACGTTTTAACTCTTTTACGTTAAAAGTAACTTCCAAACCATCAGGTGTGGCATTTGGGCCTTTACTTGTATCAATATATACAGAGATATTTTTGAAACAGCCCAATTCGTCCAGTTTCAATCGAGCCTACAAGAAATGATACTTAACTAAAAAGGAAAAATATCTCCTGTAAAGGGTTTATACGCTAAAAAAGTATCGGGTTTTCGCAACGCGCGCGCCATCTGGTGGACTTTAAAAGCATTGCGTGAATTTAAGAATTGTCAACAATACATTTCAAGCATACGAACTGTACATCATTTTTAAATAAATAGGTAGTTTTTTCACAAAAGACAGTCTTACTTGACAAATTTTGTTCAATTGCACAGCTAAATCGCGCACGTTATTTGTGTTTTACGTTGCAAGGAAAAAACTAAAAAACTGGTTTAGTACTCGATTTCGATTGATTATTCTTTATATCATTGATTAAGAAACTCAACGCTTAAATGCTTATATAGTTACGTTAGTGGGTGTATTTTATCTGAGGGATCATGGTGAATTATTGTGTTTTTAATTGTAAATAAAATTCAAGAACTAAATCGTTGCATTTTCATGTTTTGCCAAAGGATCCAATTCGGTAAGTACATTTGTTGGTGCAGAATTAACTAATGATAAATTTACCTAATATAATTCATATTTGTTTGAACATTTTTAAGAAATTAGTAAAAAATAATTATTGCACAAACATAACCTTAAAAAATCAACCATTTTTATATTTGAGTTCTCTAAAAAACGCCAACTGCATTTTAAACAACAAAATATACCTACAAATTCATGGCAACATAATATTATATATAATACATAATATAATGGAATTTTACAGTTGAGTGGAGACTTTCTTAATCAACGCTTTTAATAATGCTAAATGCTGTTTAAATTTAGACGACTTATTTGTTTGACGATTTTTACTGAATTGAAATATTTACACTTTTCACATTAATCACTACTAAAATGTGTATTTATTGTATCTAATAGGTACAATTTATATTTACAGAGACTGTATGCAATTTATCTCTTCATTCAGATTAACACTGTTTATTGGAAAACCGGTAAAAACTCAACCCAGGATTTCCTCTCGAAATACACCCAACAACACAACAAATCGTGCCACGGTTTTTTTTCCGATATTTTTTAATATTTTCCGGCTTTATTCTCAAAAACACTCGTTTGTAACATAAGCGTTTGACAGCTGATTATTAAAAGTGGTACTTTTGTTACGATGATAACAGCCGAGTGGTGGCGCTACTAGCGATACTTCTTTAGCGTGTAATTTTGACATTTTTTCATGGTTACCCAATTGTAAAACTGACTTACCCTGTGTGCTTTAAGTAGTACATCTTGAAAATCGCTTGCTTTAAATAAATCTCGAATGCAATCTTCAATTATGTCATCTTTGGTTCGAGCAAGGCCGTCTATATGTATTTTATCCACTCTGGCCTTAAATTAATTAAAAAATTTGACAACCTTCAAGCGGTTTTAACCTCACTTTTTACAAATTTGACATCTGTCTCCACACCTCAAAGTCCCACCACGTGACCACGTACGGAACGCAGTCTTTTGAAAATTTGGCATTTAAGGCTTTTCAGGATATGTATCTGTCAAAGTATAGTCAATGAAAGAAATAATATTTATAGTGTTACCGCTTATGTTTAAGCGTTAAAAGTTAATAAATCTTTATAGTATCACAATAACAATGGTTGATTTAAGAATTTAGGAGTATAAATACTGCATTTAATGAAATTCCAAAGTGTAAGGTGCAATATAAGTAATATTTTTGTGCATTGGGTCTACATTTCTCCATAAAATAGTTTTAACTAAACAGCATTTATTAAAAAAAAATCTAACTTCTCTATGAAATAAGAATATCTGTATCAAAGGTAGGTTAATGTATAAGAACAAAAAATATCATCTAATTTTGTATTTTAAGGTTAGAAAAATCTATTTTGACCAAAATAAATAAGTGGATTATTTGAAAGAGTGTGTTAATATGGTCATAAATAAATATAGGTATACTAAATAATTGTTGAATATAGTTCAAATTAAATTGAAGCTTTTATACTTCTAACGACAAAACTTGTGCATACCCCTCGGCATACTTACTTTAAGTTAGATTATAAGAAAACAAACAATTTTTAGAGAAACTTGCAATGTGAAAATGGTTAATACTCCCATGACATGTGATTTATTAAAATTTTTAAAGTTATAATGATTTTTTGATGTAGATCAAATTCAGTCGAAGCTTTTTAACTATTTGTATTGGCAAAACTTTATGTAGGTACACTTTAAGCTGGATAAGAAAAACTACCACATTTTTAAATACCATATTATACAGTCTTTTAAATAATCCAAAATACTTATTCATTTTGGTCAAAATAAATTTTTCTAACCTTAAAATTACAAAATTAGATGATATTTTTGTTATAATATATTAACTAACCAGTGGCGGCTGGTGGATTTTGGCACACCCATATCTCAGTTATTAGACATGGGACCCACATCAAATTTATAAGAGTTTATAATGACATTATATAGACAAGTTCTGCGCAAGCAGAATTTAAATTAAAGTTTGCGAAAAAAAGTTAGTTTTTAAGTGCAACCCCCAGCCTCCTGCCCCTCCAAATTAAGATAATTCAAATTAAAGTGGTACAATATTTAATTCACTAAAGTTTATCGACAAATTTCAAATTTTATTAAAAAAATTCAAGTATTACAGATTTTATACCATTTCAAATTTTTTTAAAATTTAGTAATAGAAATAATAAAAATTATAAATGGTATAAAACCTGTAATTCTTGAATTTTTTTAATAAAATTTGAAATTTGTCGATAAACTTCAGTGAATTAAATATTGTACCACTTTAATTTGAATTATCTTAATTTGGAGGGGCAGGAGGCTGGGGGTTGCACTTAAAAACTAACTTTTTTTCGCATACTTTAATTTAAATTCTGCTTGCGCAGAACTTGTCTATATAATGTCATTATAAACTCTTATAAATTTGATGTGGGTCCCATGTTTAATAACTGAGATATGGGGTGTGCCCAAAATCCACCAGCCGCCACTGTAACTAACCTACCTTTAATACAGATACTCTTATTCCATAATAGAGAAGCTAGATTTTTTTAAATAAATGCTGTTTAGTTTAAATTATTTTATGGAGGAAAACCAGATATTTGGACCAAATGCACAAAAATATTACTTATTTGGCACCATACATTTTAGAATTTCATTAAATGCAGTATTTATATTCTTAAATTCTTAAACCATCCATTGTTATTCTAATGTTATAAAGATTTATACATTTTTAACGCCTAAACATAATATTATTTCTTTCGTTGACTATACTTTGACAGATACATAACCTGAAAAGCCTTAAATGCCAAATTTTTAAGAGACTGCGTTCCGTACGTGGTCACGTGGTGGGACTTTGAGGTGTGGAGCATAGTACGTATTAATGCACTAGTGCAAAAGTAATTTAACACACTAGTGTACTAAATGTAGATAGAGATAGGTGACATAACCTGAAAAAACTCACCCTCACACCCTCCCACTGTATATCCTCCTGCCTCTTATCCTGCTGCCTCTCATTCCCACTCAAATTTTCCACCGTATCTCCCAAAATGTTCCTCCTATCGTCGGCCTGAAATAATAAAATTGTTTGAGGTTATATTTATTTTTAAACATGACATGACATGTACTTTCGCGTGTACCGTTCCCATCTCTATAAGCCGTGTAATTGTTCACTTGGACACATAAATTTTCTGTTTTAGTTGCGCATTTTTTCGATTATGTATTATTAATTCTAGGCTGGAAATTGAAATTGAAAATTCGAAGGTACTGACAGAAATGTCACCAGACCGGCAACTTTTCAAAGTGAAAATCACTGGAATCATGTGACGATAAAATGAGCAATTAACGGTCTAAAATTATAAGAAATTAAAATAATATTGTTTTATAGGCATAATAAATGATTAAAGTACGATATAATCGCAATAAATCATCATTTTAGGGCAAATTTGGTGACTTGTTATATTGGTTGCCTAGCATTGTTGATTTAGGTTAGGCAACCAAGATAACAAAAATAAAACACATTTTAGTAATAAAATATTATATTGGTTATTTAAGGTAAACAAATCGATTATACATAACACCCTCTATCACAAATCCTTTTAGCTAATGGAAAGCGTATATTAGCATCAAAATTGTGCACGCTGATACCAAAAGGCCCAAAATAATGGAGTCTCTTCGTTTACGAAGATTAATCCTCTGAATTAAACTGTTTATTAGCGGATATCGGTTTGAAATGTCGTTGAATCGCGTTTGCAGCCGTTTCAAGTGCTGCCTTTGCGTGGTCAAATTTTCCCGGGTTTCCATTGCTATGGTTATTTGCTCGTTTACCAGCCGATCAGAACTAAAAAATTGTTAATAAAAATCTGAGGGTTTTTTAATGATTTTGAAACACAGTAGGCGTTGATAAATGAAAAAAACAGCGTGGTTGCCATGGTAACACTTTTTAGTTACAAAAATTTTGGGGTTATGGTGTATAGTTTCATGTGAAAACTATACGCTAAATAAGTATCGGGTTTTCGCAACGCGCGCGCCATCTGGTGGACTTCAAAAGCATTGCGTGAATTTAAGAATTGTCAACAATACATTTAAAGCATACGAACTGTACATCATTTTTAAATAAATAGGTAGTTTTTTCACAAAAGAGTCTTACTCAATTGCACAGCTAAATCGCGCACGTTATTTGTGTTTTACGTTGCAAGGAAAAAACTAAAAAACTGCTTTAGTACTCGATTTCGATTGATTATTCTTTATATCATTGATTAAGAAACTCAACGCTTAAATGCTTACATAGTTACGTTAGTGTGTATTTTATCTGAGGGATCATGGTGAATTATTGTGTTTTTAATTGTAAATAAAATTCAAGAACTAAATCGTTGCATTTTCATGTTTTGCCAAAGGATCCAATTCGGTAAGTACATTTGTTGGTGCAGAATTAACTAATGATAACTTTACCTAATATAATTTATATTTAAGTTTGGACATTTTTAAGAAATTAGTAAAAAATAATTTTGCACAAACATAACCTTAAAATCAATCATTTTTATATTTGAGTTCTCTAAAAAACGCCGACAACTGCATTTTAAACAACAAAATATACCTACGAATTCATGGCAACATAATATTATATATAATACATAATATAATGGTATTTTACCGTTTAAAGAATTCTTAATCAACGCTTTTAACAATGCTAAATGCTGTTTAAATTTAGACGACTTATTTGTTTGACGATTTTTACTGAATTGAAATGTTTACCCTTTTCACGTTAATCACTACTAAAGTGTGTATTTATTGTATCTAATGGGTACAATTCAGCGTTGCCAACCGTACGATAATTATCGTATGTGTACGATATTTCAGCCCTCTGTACGATGTACGATCACATACTTAGTATCGTACGCTTTTGTACGATAATTTAAACATTGTACGATTTTTTGTACGATAAAACGTAATAATAGGAAGGTACCTTAAAACGGTAAGCATTTATGAAAATAAAAGCATAAAATTGGCGATTTTACCACTTTCGTATTTTGCGGCTTAATTTTATTTTAACTGGCGCAAATTTAGCCCCGCCCCCTTTCTTTCTTAAAATGAACTTTAGGCTAAAGCACAGAAGTTCTTCTGTGGCTAAAGTCTTTAGCTAAAGGCCAAATTTTGAAGAAGAGGAAGAAGAACTCGAAAAAAATAACGTATTCGTTTTTATACATGCAATTATTTTTTGATGTTGTGATTATTATAATTATAATCAGATTATATAACATTTTAAAAATACATAAATATGCGGTCTGAATCGGAAGATGATTATAGTGATAATTCCAATAGCCCAACGCGATCCCCAAAAAGACAACGCAGGTTATCATCAGGTTCAAAACCGAAACCAAAGCACAGAGGACAAAATTTCAGGGATGAGTGGCTGAAATTAAAAGAATTTAAGCATTGGTTGGCACCAGTGCCAGGTATAATAACAAAAATTTATAATGTAAAGTAAAAAAAAATAAAATTTTGTATTTTTAGTAGATCGCAAAAAGGCACAATGCATTATGTGTAAAAAGTCATTGGTTTTAAAAATAATAATGTAGAAAATGACGTAGAACCGGACGATTTAGATTTTGTTATACTTGAATAAAAATTGAAAAATAATGTTTTTGTTTTTTTTGCGTGTACGATAATTTTATTTAGAAAACGATAATTTTTTGGGTGTTGGTACGATAAATTACGCTTCAGTGGTTGGCAACGCTGGTACAATTTATATTTACAGAGACTGTATGCAGAGTGGTGGCGCTACTAGCGATACTTCTTTAGCGTACCTATATGGAAAAATTTGAATTTCTTTGATCAAATTATAAAATTTTTAATACACTGTAGGTATGTTTTATTATTATAACTACTAGAAGTAAGTGTTAACACTTACTTGTGAGCATGTTGATTTTCTTTTAAATATATGTCCCTTCTATTATTAACTCCATCAGACCTAAAATTTTCATTTGATCCTTTCAATAAGTCGTCACGATCTTTTCTGTAATTGTGTTGGGAGTTAGTTTTATTAAACTCCCTAGATAGGTCTGCTGAAATATCACGATGTCTTTGTAGGGTATGCAACATTGCTGCACCTGAAACTGGTTGCTCTGACAATCTTTCGTTCACTTGGCTTAACTAAAAGAAATTGTGCAATGTTAATACTTAACGTTAAACGATTAGTTTTTCTTTGGCAAGAACAAGAACCCTACCTTTGATAGTAACGTTTCAATCTCCACTGCCATAGCTTCAAAAGTATCCTCTCCTGATAAAAGGGGCACTGTATCAGAATGCTTAGTGTGGGGAGCTTTAATCCCAGCCCCGAGCTTGCTAAAGGCAACCAATTTTAAATCTATTTCGTTTTCCAAGTGCCTAGCTTGCTTGCGCAAGTCTACAATTAAAAAATAATTAAATTCGTCAATTTTTAGCGTCAAAAACAATAAAAACCTTCGTATGATAAAGCTGTCGCCATTTCTATTGACAAGTTGTCAAAAAAACATAACCTCAATACAAGCAGAGGATAAGTCATGTTTACACTGTTACAAATGAATGTAGGCAACCCAATATACATTTATCATAGAATCAATTTGTTTGAATAGTTCATATGGGTGATTCTACAAAAGTTGGACAACTTGATGTCAACAGTTAACAGAGTAGGTATTGTTTGTAAAAAAACATAATAAATATTCAAAACATCAGTACCTTGGCGTGTCACAACTCCTGAATCAAATATTTGAGTGATTTTATTTTAAAATATATTCAATTTATCTTAAATTTTTCAATTTCACTACAAACTATAAAACATTAAATAATGTATTCTTCATATTTTATCATAGATTCGAAAAATAGCAATTTTTAAAAAATTGATAATCTTTGTACTCACTTTTACCCGTCAGTTCTGCGTCCAATGTTAAAATTCAAAATTCCTGCGAAATATTGAAGTTTAAACGTCAAGTCCTCGTTTTAACTCAAGTGTTGGTAAAAAATTACCTACCCTTTGCACGACAGTCATCTTGAAAGCAATGCAAGCGGCTAAGTTGTGGTGAATGCACGTATAGTTCCAGTCAAAATTTCAGTACTGTGGTGAGTAGTTATTTTCTTACGTATAATATATATTTCATTGTAATTTATATAAGGCTATATGTGATTTGTTGATAAGTAGCATCCACTAATAAAAAACATCAGTAAAATACTTAATTCCGAATTATAATCTCAAATTTGTATCCCATTCATCAGTACCGTGTCGTCAGTTCCACGTTCGATGTTTCGGTTATCTTTTTTTCGCAAACTTCAATTTAAATTCTGCTTGCGCAGAACTTGTTTATTTAATGTCATTATAAACTCATATAAATTTGGTGTGGGTCCCATATCTAATAATTGAGATATCGGTATACCCAAAATCCACCAGCCACCACTGATGTATGGTAGGTATTATTTTATTTTAAGATATTTAATGTATAATATGCTCAAAGTTGCAATAAATCTTATACTTTCCAATAAATTATGTATTTAAGTACCCTGGTATACTCGTCACTTCCCTTGCATTCAAATTTTAAAAACTCAGATATTTCAGAAACTGTTTGAAAAATTGACTGGCCCGGTCTGGAACAGTATTTTTATTATATTATCTATGTTCTCATAACAAAATACTGTTTAATTTTCTCCGCAAACTATATAAACAAAATGAGGTCAAAAGTTGCCCAACTTTTGTAAAATCACCCATATATGAACTGAAACTCATTTTTTTATTAATTTTCTAGATAGTGACGAAAACAAGACAATGACCCAAATCTAATGTGCTGAAATATTTAAAAAATATGTATGTTCAATTTTATCAGGTATTTTATTTTTTAGGAAATTTGATTCTTAATTCAATTAAAAACAAAACAAATGCAAATTTTGTGCGAAATGGTGAATTTCGATACCTTACATTTACGCACAAATAATATTGAAAGTAAACATTTATTTTATCGATATACGCATTTTACTTTCGCGTGTGAAAAAATATACTGAAATTAATTTGGGAATTTTAAATTTTCAGGGAGTCAATATTGAATATGGAACCAACATTTTTTGTGTCTAGACGTTTTCATAAATAATTATGTAAAATGGTACAATTTCATACATTTTCATGAATGGGTTTGTAATTTTTGAGGATTCCACAGTATACAGTATACCTTATAAGGTCAATAAATATACCATTTATTTCTGTATGAACAAAATAATTTGTAAATACCTATATTTATATTACTCTAAGAATGTTTTTTAAACCTTCCAGTGAGAATATTCTTAGGATCATGCTATATTTCTTCTAAAGAACATGCTTAAAAGACATATAGCATGATCCTAAGAATATTCTTACTGGCCTATAGGCAGGTTCTTAGAAGGTGCAAAGATTTAGTGGTAAAAATTAGTCTACTCTAAACATATAGCATATATGCTTAGAATGTTAAAAAAGTAATTGCTATAGAAAGTTCATTTAGGAATATTCCTGTTAAGCATATTTAGTTCAGTTACCTATATAATAGTAAAATATACCATAAACTACGTATAAAGGTATATACCTATACTTAAGTACCTAATTAGTAATTATTATTAAATAATAAGTAAAAAACACAATCCAAAATATTTTTTTATAGTTATTTGTCAAATTAAAACAATATTCGATAACAAAAATACTTTTACTATAGGTATTTTATTTTATGTTAAAAATAAATATTTATTAATTTGTATACCGATTTTTTATTTCTGAATAAACGTTTTTATGTATAATAATCCTAACTATCTTCAACTTCAATCTAATCTGACTTATCCCACAAAATTTTCCAATTTTACTTTTTATGAAATAATGTCATACAACTTATGGTTTAGAGGTCAAATTGTTTATTTAATATTTTTAAATAAATATATATTAATATGTCGCAAAATTTTTTAAGGGGACGACAAATACATTTCACTGTCATATTATGATAGTGAGGCGTATTTGTCGTCTCCTGAAGAATTTTACGAATGTAGAATACAACATATTAGAACGTGGGTATCTGACATATTTAGAAATATTCTCAAAAGCTTCCTAGAAGCTCTATAAGAAACCTTCTAAGAACATTCCAAAAACGTATTCTTAAAATGTTCTTAGGATGCTTTTTAGAAAGGTTTTAAGAAGCTTTTAAGAATCTAATTGCATCATTAAAAGGGTATCTATTGAATGTTTTAAAAGTCCCTAAGAACATTCTTAGCAATAAGGGAAGGTTCTAAGAATATTCCATTATTCCGGGTCATATCTTCTTAGAAGATTCTTAAAATCAAATTTTGCTATCAGGGTGTTAATATCTACGCTCAGCGTTTTCCGGAAAAAATTCGATCACGTACTTCAAAAATTATTGGAGAATCGTATACAGAAGAAAAATCCCCACCCAGTATATATTTTTAGGTTTTATTCATACAGGGACTTGGATATGACATTGTAAGGGTTGAACGAAATACATGCATTTTCTGGGTGTAAATTTTTTATTGCATAAGAGTCCGGTCTGCGATTTTATACAACTTACTATTTTTAAATTCCGACCAGACGAAGTGTCTGGCACTGTCTAAAATGTGTTTCCACTAAAAAATGCATGCAAAAATAATTTTTGAGATGATTGAAATTTGGGTGTTTAAAAAAATTATAAAAAAATGTTTGTTTTTTAATATACTGAAAAAAATTATTTCTGATGCATGGGTTTTTTTTTAAAACGTCATTTTCTGAAATGGTATGTTATTTTTGTATATAGATACACTGAAAAAAATAATCTTTTAAAAAAATGAAAATCCTTTCATTTAAAAGATTTGCGCTTTTGTATAGGACCATGGTCCTTGCAAGAGCTATGTTTCTTAATCTAAATCAGAAACTATCTTAACATAATTTTTTTTAAATTACTTGAGGATATTACAATTATTGTAATAATAATATTGTAATACAATATTAGCTTAAATTAAGGGCAAGCGATTTCTTGGTACAAGACACAAAAATATTTTTTCGGAAGAGCTTAGGAAAATTTGTCTTGCTACAAAATCATATACTACCCTGATAGCAAAATATGATTTTAAGAATCTTCTAAGAAGATATGACCCGGAATAATGGAATATTCCATAATTTCCATAAGTTGTATGGCATTATTTCATAAAAACTAAAATTGGAAATTTTTGTGGGATAAGTCAGATAAGTCAGATTAGATTGAAGTTGAAGATAGTTAGGATTATTATACATAAAAATGTTAATTCAGAAATAAAAAATCGGTATATAAATTAATAAATATTTATTTTTAACATAAAATAAAATACCTATAGTAAAAGTATTTTTGTTATCGAATATGGTTTTAATTTGACAAATAACTATAAAAAATATTTTGGATTGTGTTTTTTACTTAGTATTTAATACTAATTACTAATTAGTTACTTAAGTATAGGTATATACCTTTATACGTAGTTTATGGTATATTTTACTATTATATCGGTAACTAAACTAAATATAAGCATGTTCTTTAGAAGAAATATAGCATGATCCTAAGAATATTCTCACTGGAAGGTTTAAAAAACATTCTTAGAATAAAGTGTGCTATCAGGGATAATCAATTTTGAACAAGATATTTTTTTTTGGTTTTCCCACTGTTATTTATTTATGCTATGATTTTTGCACCCAATTTTATATTAATCCCGAATTACAAAATGCATATCAGTCCGTCTCGAATATGAAAATAAAATACAAATATATGGGAGAGCGAGAAAGCGATAGCTTGCCTCCTCTGATACTGAAAGAATAAAGACTTACTATTTATATCAGTTTTCTTTGAAACACCTTACAATAAACACGAAAAATTTCGAAAAAAAAAAATTTTTTCTGAAAATTTTTAAAAACTCAGTGATCAGTGATTTTACCAAAAAAAATATGGAATTATTTGGTATAATAATAACAATATTTTCTATTTTAATAACATTTTCGAAAAGTGCCCCCTTAAATAAAACAGATTTAGACGACTTCGTGAAATTTTTTTACGAAAAAAAAATCAAAAGCAAAATCGAGAGTGACCTACGCGAATTTTTAACCCAAAATAACGACGATATTTACGAAAATATGCAAGGCGATCAACCGGCTACAGATCAGCGAAATACGCAGGACATTTTAACGAAAAACAACTCTTTTGACGATGATGCCATCAGAAAATACATACGAAACAGGTAATTATTATTATTATTATTATAGAAATTCCATACAAAAGTTTTTTACATAAATATAAAATAAAATCTAAAAAAACACAATCAAAATAATCGTTTAGTAGCAGGACTGTTAAAGTTGATACAACAATGTACAGGGTGTTTTCGTATAAATCTCCGAAATATTTATTTAAAGAGATATTAAAGAATTAAAAAATCCAAAAAAGTAATTTTTTTGACAAAAATTAAAAAACAGTTTTTTCATTGGAATATATTATATATTTTTGAAGATTTAGTTTAGTTTTTTATTATAATTAAACATTTTATTAATAATTATTATTGAACCAAAAACCAAATAATCGTTCCAAATATACAGGGTGTTTCAATAAAAAAACAATTTCTATGCTATTTTATTAAAAAATTGAATTTACCGATGCTTTTTTGATTTTTGTTAAAAAATCACTTTTTTCGATATCTCTTCTAATAAAGATTTTATAGAAAAACACCCTGTTTTAATTATCAAGTTTGACTAGCGGCGTGCGAAAAAGAATTGGTACAATAAAGAGTACATGGTAAAAAAAAAATTTCAAGTAAGTTGACGTACAATTTTTAAGGGAGAAATTTCGATTTTTACATACAAATTTGACCAACTTACACTGTAATTTTAAATGCCGGTAAAACAGATTTCTTACATCAGTAGACACTTATTTTATTAAACACTCGCTCGCTAGCTTCGGGAATAGATTCTTAGAAACTACCTATTTATTAAAATACTTACTTTGAACATTTGTTGGTGAAGTTCTGCTACTAAACTTTTAACCCTGTATTTATAAATAGCATCAAGTTTTTATTACTAAGGCAAAAATTAATATTTTTGATTTTTTAATAGCCATAGAGAAAGAGATGGGGATCTAAGGTAAAACAATAGTTGTGTTTGTTTAAATATTTTTGTTTTTGCATGGATTTTTTTTTTATTATTTTTTTTTTTAATAAAATTATATTTAAAAAATATTAAATCTATATAATACACTCACAGGCAAAATAATCGATCCACACAAATTTTCGATGAATTTCAATCGCAAATAACTTTTTTATTTGATGTCGGATTTAAACGAATATTAAAGAATATTGTAGATAAATTAATGGACAATCGCTCACATTTTAAAAAATTACTAAAAATTGACGTACGTTTATAATATACAGGTTTAAACAAAAAGATGTTTTTTACCATAAGTTTAAGACACTCTGTAGAGTGCCAAATCCGTATATTGTTCTAAATTAAGTTTTATTTATCAAGTCACATCTATTCTTAACAGTTTTGTTTTTGGTTGACCTCGATATATTTATTTTTGTGAAAAATATGGATTTTTTAAAAAACATTGCAATTTCCAATATTTTTCTGTATGAAGAACTAAGGTTGCTATGGTCCATCCATATGCTATGGAGAATGACAGTGACAGTTTTGTTGAATCATCCCATACTTGGACATGTCATACACGGCTTTCAAAAGCTATAGATATATCAAATTGTTTTTTGCAAATTAATGTTGAAATTTTGAGGTGTCTTCTCACTTTAAAAAATGGATATGTCCCCAAATGATGTTGCCAGAGCCATTAATTTAATCCAGGATGGACGGTCACAGTATTACGTGGCAAGTGTTTTAAACGTCACAAGAAGTAAAGTACAAAGGGCAACATCAGTCGGAGACATTTTTAAAAGTAAGAAGACACCACAAAATTAACACATTAATTTACAAAAAACAATTTCATAGCTTTTGAAAGCTGTATATGACATGTCCAAGTATGGGATGATTCAACAAAACTGTCACTGTCATCCTCCATAGGCTATGGATGGACCATAGCAACCTTAGTTCTTCATACAGAAAAATATTGGAAATAGCAATGTTTTTTTTTAAATCCATATTTTCCACAAAAATAAATATATCAAGGTGAACGAAAAACAAAACTGTTAAAAATAGATGTGACTTGATAATTAAAACTTAATTTAGAACTATATACGGTTTTGCCACTCTACAGAGTGTCTTAAACTTATGGTAAAAAACATATTTTTGTTTAAACCTGTATATTATTAACGTACGTGTATTTTTTATTAATTTTTAAAATGTGAGCGATTCTTCATTAATGTATCTACAATAGTCTTTAATATTTGTTTAAATCCGAAATCAAATAAAAAAGTTATTTGCGATTGAAATTCATCGAAAATTTGTGTTGATCGATTATTTTGCCTGTGAGTATATATATATATATATATATATATATATATATATATATATATTACAAAATTATTAAAAAAATTTCTTTTTTTATAAATTCTTGATGATAAACTTTGATTTTAAAAAATGCTAAATCATTTAATTGATTTCAACAAGTAAACAATTTATTTTCTAATTTTTATTGAATAGGCATATTTTAGATAAAAAATTAAACAATTTCTCGTATGACTCAGCCAATAGGAATTTCCCAAAAAACGCGATTAGGTTTTAATTGTTTAAACAAAATACTAAAAATTCCTTACTTTTTTTATTTAATTTCTTGTATTAATTTTAAATAAGTGATCCATAAATAAAATTGTAATAACCAACTTTTTAAAAATAAATAATTATAAAATAAAATATGAAATTAGTTATTAAAGTATTTTAATTTATGTACCTTATTTTAAACACCTGCGTATAAAACTGCGACTTAAACTAATACGTAAATAAATTTTATTAATAAAATTCTTGGAAATAAAACGCAATTTTAATAATTAGAAAGTTTATAGTTTTAAATATTAAATAAAAATAAAACAAAACATAACGTGGTTTCAAAAATTTTAAATGTTATTATTAACATCTTATTTTCATAAAATTTTGTTAAAAGTAATAAATTTATAATAAAGCATTTTAATGTTTTCCTAATTTATTAACACCCTGTATATATGATTTCAAATGTTTATATTGGAAACTTTTTGTCGTAAAATGAAAAATAATTTTTTTTTCTATTGTTTATTCCATTAAATTTTTTTTTTAATGGTAATGTTGAATATTGAAATATTATTTTGAAATATGCCTTGAACTTACAGCATAAAATTCAACATTTTAATATAAGCTTAAATAAAGGTAAATGATGGACAAAAACTACACTTATTTGTCTAGACATTTTATCCTTTTAGGATAATTGAGATCTTGTCAAGACTAGACAGAGTGGAGGACAAAAAATTGTCTAGAAATAAGAAAACGAAAATATATCACTTCATATCCCCCAATAGACGGTTTTAATATATCTAACTTTATTTAAAAGTAAGAAAATCTATATTTAATAATTTAGCATTTTTATTTTACTTTGGCGCTGTATATCTTGTTAGGAACCAGGTATAGAAAATTTTGCTTATAAACAAACATTTTAATGTCTACATTTTTTGTTTTCGAAATTTTTTTGCCCGACCAATAATAAACGAGATAAAACGCCGGAGAAAAAAAAACAAAATCTGTAAAAAAACTTAAATGTACATAAAATGTTGAAACGTATTATTTATAACAAATGCTCTGTATATTTCAATAATAAATGTTAATTAAGCATTTTTCATAATTTAGATGCCAAATTTTGTTGTATTACTAAATATTAACAAAATAACAAAATATATAAAAATCGACATTTTGGTCCACTGTGCATCTCAAGAAATATCATTCGTTAAGGTCGATAAACTTCTAGTCTAGACGTCTACATATAAAAAAAATGGAAATGCAGCAAATTTATTAAAATAGTAATAAACATATCTTTGCCACTACCTTATAAAAAAACTTGTCTAGTTATAAGGAAGTGTCTACTAAAGCTGTCCACACACTACGCTGCTACTACTACTACTACTACCTAAGGGTTCCCATAATTAACTTTTTAATTTTTAAATTAACCAATTGGTTTTGGTCAAAAAATAATTAGATTACTTCTGTTTTAGTTTTAGTCACGGGCTAGTTGACAGTTGTCAAATGTCAACTGTCAACTGTCAAAATAAATATGAACGTTTTAGTTTTAAGTTTAAATAACTACAAATTTACTACTAAGTCAATTTTAAAGTATTTTTTATAGTTTTATAACGGTATACCTAGATACGAAAAATTACCAAATTTGGGGAATGTGTTATTTTGTTATTTTACCTACATAATAACCTTTTTGATCTACTAAGAGAATAACGTAATAAAAACAATATAAATACCACAAATTTACGTAAAAATAACGTTATAATTACTAAGTGTTTGCTCTCTCTTTCTAAAACATTAACATTCGTAATTTCTTTGTTCTTTTAATTTATATTTTACAAAATTAAAAAATTCAACATAACTTAAAACATACAAAATTTTATGAAATCTTATAAAAATCATTTACTTTTAATCATTTTTTAATAACTAAAACTTTCCTTATTATATTTCAGAAAAATATTTATGAAAAAATATTATAAAAATGTTTAGATAAGTATTGGATGCCATCTTCTAAAACTCATTACCCACACAGAACACGCTATCCAATGGATATCCAATGGCTATCCCAATGTCCATATAACATCCATGCCTTTTACGATATCCATTGGATATCCAATGGATATCCATACTGGATGTTCAAAAAAAAACAAAAACATTAAAAATATTTTTTTCTTTTTTATAATAGCCCCTTATAGGATAAATTTATGTAATGATTAATAAATATGATTTAAATCGTTATTAACCCAATTTCAACAAAGTATCTCTAATATATATCCAATGGATAACTAATGTATGTCCAAAGTATATCCTCTGTACATCTAATGTATATCCACTGGATATCCACTGGATATCCGGTGGATAACTGATATGGATATCTTGTATATATACTTGTATGTATACATGTGGGATTTTGTGATGGTTTAAACTAGCATATGTAAAAAAACAACTTTACGGTAAATTGATTTTTTGCCAAGAGCTACAAAATTTTTAATTTTGAAATGTTCACTTTAATAATAATATTTATATATAATAATAATAATATATTAATAATATTATTTCTGTTAATAATATGACTATGACAGTCTGCAATACAATAAAAAATTACTTAAAAAAGTCCTTTTTGTTTATTATTGTATTTCATAGTACTACGCACGCGCTGAATTTGAGAATCTTCAGTGTTGCCGGTTATAAGCAAAATAACTAAACGAAATATATTTCCGTACTTTATTAAGTTTTAATAAATAAATTAAATAAATTTCAAATAATTATTCACCACATTTATGTCAAATAGGTATACTAGGTATACTAATTAATTAAGTATTAAAGATTTAATAATATAACCGCCATTTTGATGAGCTTTCTGAAATTATTTAAACGTCTGACAACACTGCCGGCGAACACAGAAGATAAAGAAGCGTCCTTTTTCTATGGTAGCGTCCGTTAAATATGATGCCATGATTGTTAGGTACATGCAAAGGGTTTTCATGTTTATTTGCTTCATTCCACAGATTGTAAAGGTTCATTCGCCATCATTGCTATTTGTTATATGTTTGTCATAAAGTTTATTGCCAAGTTATTGTGTTTTGTGGTTATTTGTTTGAGGTCTATAGTGGTAAGTGAATATTTTATTAATTTTCTAATCATAGTTATCATTTTAAATTGTATTGGTCTAAAACTAATACAATTTTAAATTAAATAGGTAGGTATATTTAAGTGCAATTTATAAACTTTCGGTTAGCATTGAAGGTAAAACATTAAAGGTGAATACATGCATGCATTTATATACCGTACCTTTATTTTTAAGCTATACATAGGCTCGAGGGTAACAAATGGGCTGATGGATTGGCCAAATTTTGGGGATCATAAGGAGACAGGTGAAATAGGCCCTAAATGATTAGGCTGATAAAAAGGCAAATGACAGGTGGAGGAGTGATGGCAAGCCAGAGACTTCACTTCTTTAGTTATACATATGTAGTTTTCTGTTCTTTTTTATGTTTTCATAAAAATAAATATTTAAATTAAAGAATAAGACTTTTATTTTAAAACCCAATGTTATTTATTGAAAAGTAAATATCCATTGATTCACCATATCCAATACAGATGACAACCATATTGCATACAATACTATATCCACTGGGTATCCATTGGATATCCACACTATGTCCAGGAGGGTCGGACATTTATATATCCAATGGTTATCCATTGGATATCCCGGATATCCTATGTATATCCTGGATATCCATAAAAGAAATCCATTGGATATCCATTGGATGTAATTGTTCCGTGTGGGTGGCGACCTGAAAAAAATTTTATTTTTCACTTTAAGCTTATTTTTCCTTCTTTAGTCAATATTAATAGTATTTATTACCACTAATAACCCTAAAAAATACCAGGAGAATAGGAATTATTAACGGTTATAAAGTGGTCTTAATATCGTAAAATTATGACTTATGAGTAACATTTACCATTAAGTAAAAATTCTGACGCTAAAATTACCGTTAAATTTCCCTTTAGGTGAAATACACTTATAAGTAATTTTCTTTCGTAAAAATTACGTCCCTCATAATACTTTAAAGTGTTGAAACTTAAGGGTAAAAATTACATAAATAAAACTTTACTTCAAAGTAAATTTTTAAGGTTAATTTAACAAAATATTTACTTAAATTAAGTAGTATTTCGAAATTATTTTTTATCGTATCGACTATTTAATGGCAATATTAAAAAACAGGTGTTTATTCTGGTATGTGAAGCTTTAGATGCATACATTAAATCTAACCATGTTATAGAAATAGCTAATGACGTGGATATAAAATTTAACTTTTTATTTTAATAAACAAGTTTGTATTAAAATTCTTAAATGTCTAGTCTAGACTTATAATAATTTACTATACATATACATATAACTATAGATATTTTAATTTTTAGTATTTTGCAACAAATTCATTCAGAATGATAGTAGTAGTAATTTTAAAACATGTTTTAAAATATACTTTTATACCTATATGGTACTCTATATATAAATAAACCTGTAGCTACTTAACTTATTAAGTATTATTTTGCATGTTTATTTGTTCATATTTTGATTTTGGACGAATATTTGATTTTTGTTTATTTTAAGGGTTAAAGAAAACTGGATTAAACAATTAAAACTTAGAATTTTGAACAATATTGGTAGAGGTAATTCCACTAATTTAATGCAAAATGAAGATACTAATATTCCAGTGAATGAGTCACAGTATGACCCTGGATACAATAATAATATGACCGCAGTTGATGAAGACAATATAACAGAAAAAATAAGAAGCTTTTACCCATCTTGTAAGTATTATTTAACCCTATGGGGTATATACGAGGTGTGTTCAGAAAATAACGGAAATTGTTAAATTTCGCGGGTTCGGAGGGTCCGGTTGTCATAAAATTTTCTTTATTATGTTGGTATATATGCCCCCGAAGTATGATAAAAACTTTTTTTCGTTCGTTAAAAGAAATGGATCAAAGAATTTGTATCCAATTTTGTTAAAAAATGAAATAAATTCTGTGAAATGTTAACAAAGGCCTATAGTGAGTCTGATATAAGTAAAACAAGAGTTTACAAGTGGTATAAGAGTTTCCAAGATGGCCGTGAAGACGCTGAAGATGACGAACGCCTCGAACGCACAAGCACATTAACAACCGATAAAAACATGTGGAAAAAATGGCTATAAACCAACCAAGTCGCTGATGATGTTGGTATATCGATTAGCTCATCCCATGAAATTTTTTCAAATGTTTTGGGTATGAAACGCGTGGCAGCAAAATTTGTTCTAAAATTGTTAAATTTTGAACAACATTTTTGGCCAAAAACAATACTGTAATGAAGCCCCAGCCTCCATATTCGCCAGACATGCCTCTGTCTGACTTTTTCCTATTCCCAAAAATAAAGAGAACCTTAAAGGGCCGTCGTTTTGCAAGCATAGATGACATTAAAAGCGCATCGCTGAAAGAACTAAAGGCTATCCCAAAGATCGAGTGCATAATATCCAATGGGGACTATTTTGAAGGCGACAACATTAATGTAGACGAATAAATAAATATTTGTTTCAAAAAACGAAAATTTCCGATATTTTCTGAACACACCTCGTATAGCTTGCGACAACTTAAAAGTATTTTTTACGGTTAACCAAAACGGTTTTATAACGGTAAAGATACGAAAAATTACCAAATTTGGGGAATGGTTTATTTCGTTATTTTACCTACATAATAACCTTTTTGATCTACTAAGAGAATAACGTAATAAAAACAATATAAATACGACAAATTTATAAATATATACGTATACGTAAAAATAACGCTATAATTACTAACTGTTTGTTCTCTCTTTCTAAAACATTGACATTCGTAATTTCTTTGTTCTTTTAATTTATATTTTACAAAATGGTACTTACAAAGTAATAAAGCTTATTTTACCTTGTTTAGTCAATAGTAGTAGTATTTATTACCACTAATAACCTTAAAAAATACCAGGCGAATAGGAATTATTTAGGGTTATAAAGTGGTCTTAATGTCGTAAAATTATGACTTATGGGTAACATTTACCATTAAGTAAAAATTCTGACGTTAAAATTACCGTTAAATTTTCCTTTAGGTGAAATACACTTATAAGTAATTTTCTTTCGTAAAAATTACGTCCCTCATAATACTTTAAGTGTTGAAACTTAAGGGTTATTAAAATAGGTAAAAATAACATAAATAAAACTTAAAAAAAAGTTTTACTTCAAAGTAAATTTTGTTCACGTTTCTTCTAGGTGACGTACCTCAGAATACTGACCAGGACATTTGGAAGGACGACAACCTGATGAACTTATATTTTAATTTCGACTATTCAAACTATGAACAAAATTCCAAAATAGCAACAGCAACATTGAGACTCTATAGAATACCTTTCGAAAATTCAACGAAATTAACATTGAAAAATGACTGTGACAATTCCAGTTCTACAGAGGACGAAAAATTAAGGGTGTCCATTTATTGGTACACCAAATCCTTGAAGAAAAGAAGAGGTAAGAAATTTGAAATCTAATTGATCGATTTGGTCAAACAAGCCCTTAAATTGAAGGTACTTGAGCCCTCTAAAACTTTCTTTAACAGACTTTTGATATCGGATAAGTATTTTGACGCAAGCGATTTTAATAACTTAAAAAACCTCAGAAAAAAAAATCATATCCCGAAAACGCCAAAAACATAACCTTAAAATATCTATTAACTATTTTTTTAGTTAAAAGACGTCTTTCCGATAGCAAAGTAATTTCGGATTCCGCACTTTGGGTGGAATTGGACGTTAAACCGGCAACAAAGGCATGGGGGAAGGGGAAAAATTTGGGGTTAGGAGTTTTGGTGGAAGATCAAGACGGTACCAACCTAAAGGCGGAAAAATACTTCAAAGGACCAGAATGCACGGTTGGCATGCGTGAGTTTGATTCATTAACACTATTAACCTTTTTTTTTAATAATACAGCGTGTTTTCATAAACAATATACACTTACAGGCAAAATAATCGATCCACACAAATTTTCGATGAATTTCAATCGCAAATAACTTTTTTATTTGATGCCCGATTTAGACGAATATTAAAGAATATTGTAGATAAATTAATGGACAATCGCTCAAATTTTAAAAAATTACTAAAAAATAGACGTACGTTTATAATATACAGGTTTAAACAAAAAAATGTTTTTTACCATAAGTTTAAGACACTCTGTAGAGTGGCAAAACCGTATATTGTTCTAAATTAAGTTTTATTTATCAAGTCACATCTATTCTTAACAGTTTTGTTTTTGGTTCACCTCGATATATTTATTTTTGTGAAAAATATGGATTTTTTAAAAAAACATTTCAATTTCCAATATTTTTCTGTATGAAGAACTAAGGTTGCTATGGTCCATCCATATGCTATGGAGAATGACAGTGACAGTTTTGTTGAATCATCCCATACTTGGACATGTCATACACGGCTTTCAAAAGCTATCAAATTGTTTTTTGCTAATTAATGTTTAAATTTTGAGGTGTCTTCTCACTTTAAAAAATGGATATGTCCCCGACTGATGTTGCCAGAGCCATTAATTTAATCCAGGATGGACGGTCACAGTATTACGTGGCAAGTGTTTTAAACGCCACAAGAAGTAAAGTACAAAGGGCAACATCAGTCGGAGACATTTTTAAAAGTAAGAAGACACCAAATTAACACATTAATTTACAAAAAACAATTTGATAGCTTTTGAAAGCTGTATATGACATGTCCAAGTATGGGATGATTCAACAAAACTGTCACTGTCATCCTCCGTAGGCTATGGATGGACCATAGCAACCTTAGTTCTTCATACAGGAAAAATATTGAAAATTGCAATGTTTTTTTAAAAAAATCCATATTTTCCACAAAAATAAATATAACAAGGTGAACCAAAAACAAAACTGTTAAAAATAGATGTGACTTGAAAATTAAAACTTAATTTAGAACAATTCTACAGAGTGTCTTAAATTTATGGTATAAAACATCTTTTTGTTTAAACCTGTATATTATAAACGTACGTGTATTTTTTAGTAATTTTTAAAATGTGATCGATTCTCCATAAATGTATCTACAATATTCTTTAATATTCGTTTAAATCCGACATCAAATAAAAAAGTTATTTGCGATTGAAATTTATCGAAAATTAGTGTGGATCAATTATTTTGCCTGTGAGTGTATGTTTATTAGTTTATTCGTAAACACACTGTATATTTTTCCGAATGCATACACCGGTTCTGGACCACTATTTTAATTTTTGGACGGCTACTGGTGGCGCCCTTAGCGGACAAAAACTGAACTAGTGGTGCAGAACCGGTGTAGTATATCTTCTTGCATACATTTTTGCTATAAAACTTAAAAATGAGTAGTTAACACCATCTTAAGCCTAATTTTGCTGATGCGCACGATTTTTTAGCTATACACTTTGTTTTATGTACTGAGGGAAGTATGTTTAGCAGCAAAAAACAACATTTAATTTTTTTAGCTACTCCCAAACCAATTCCCACCATCATCGTCGATGCCTTCAGGAAAAACGGCGCAAACTCAAACCAATTATTCAATGTATCTAGAAACGTTTCGAATCCAGCCTTTTCTAGTGATTTACAGCTGCTACCAACAATAGATATTTGCACACTGGGATTCCCCGAAAATCAGTCGATGCCTTTCTCCCAAATCGGTAAGTAGATAAAATAGGTATGGGATTTTTTTAACTACAAAACTCCAAGTAACGCTAATGCTCTTATAGCGATCTCCAAAGTCTCTATAAAACTTTAATAAAACCATTATAGGACCATTGTCTTCTTTTAAAACGTAAAAATTATGCTTTTGGATTTGATAAGATAAAATAGTTTTCTTAATGGGTTTTTAATCCTTTAAAAAATAGTTTTAAAATGGTCGAGAGTATTATAAAACCAGTATAAGATCAATAGGTTTCTTTTTAAGCGAATCTCCGTATCAACGCCTGTGACTTAAAAAAATTTCAAGAACAGTCCGAAAAACTAGCGGAAAAGGAAAAGTTAGAGAGGTTGGTTTCTTTAACATTACCCTCCAACAGGCATATAAGGCATCAGCGACAACACCATCTACAAAATAAACCCCACGCGGAAAACACAGAAACCAACTTTGACCCCAGATCGAGGGTCATAAACTCCAGAGTCATAATGACCAATGAGGAGGTATTCAACCTAACTAAACTGCAAATGTAAATGTAAAACAATGTAAATTATATTTATACCATATAAGACTGTGTAGTTTTAGCGTAGATTACAACATTGTATAAGGTTTCCCAAAATTGACTTGATTTTACATCGCTAACATATTCTTTAAATCTTCATTCAGATAAACCCACAAAAAAGACTATGAGCATTAAATCTGAGTAACTTGGTGGCCAATTACGAAACCTTCAAATCAAGTCAATTATGATAAACCCTATTGTAAATAGGTACTAAATTAAACAATCACTTAGTATAGTATTAAATTAGAAGTAGGTATATCATACTCTAGCTCTGAAGCTGGCCCACCCTGTCCTCAAATGGCCTGCTCGTCATACAGACCTCAGTGTAAGCGATTTTTTGTGTCGTATTTTAAGCTTTTAAAAATTATAAATTTGTATTATTTAGAGCTGCTATATTGTGTATGTATATATATTTTTAAGTAAGTACTTAATGCCACATTATATTTTTAGTCTATAATATTTATATTATAACAAATGTACATATGTATATGAATATATTTAAATAAATGTTTTTTTAATAATATTTTTATTTTCTTTCGTCAATTGTAAAAATAGGTAGATTTTGTCTAAAACATTTTTTCATATTTGTAATAGATGGCGCTGTTCGATTTTTCTTCTGTATAGGTACGATTCTGCAATAATTTTTCTATAAAAATATCACTTTTTTTTAGTAATAATTATCTTATTAAATTAGATCTGATTTTTTAAGTACACAGGATTTTTTAACTAATAATTAAGTTTCCTTTGGTTTAAGTTCTATACCTACATTATTTCATTCAGTGATAATTATCAATTGCGCACCATGGTCACTTTTTACCTGCCAGCATTAAAACCTTTAATTTAAAGAATTATTGTACTATTTTTAACAAAAATACCTCATTTAAGGTAAAAAAAGCAGGAATAATGAATAACCACAACATTTTGCCATGTTTATTTTTAAGGTAAATTAGACATGGAATGTCCCATATGTATTTATCTGTGTATCTGTGCAGGCAATATAAAATTTAGTAATAAATAAATTATTTAAGTTGTGTAATACGACCGGTTATAATTTCACCTTTTGTGGTAAATTTACTTAAAATTAAGTAGTTGAAATTATTTATTTTCAAGGTAAATCACGAGAACATATGTAAGAAGTATCCACAATATTTGTTATTATTTTAGTTTATACCTGTGTTTATATTTTGGGTATGTAAAGTTTATAATTTCTTATATTTGACGTTCTTTATAAAGTATAGAATATGTTTAATATTAAATAATACATTTTAATTTATGATTTTGTGAGACATCAAACACACACAATTAATTTCATACGTCACAGTAACAGTGTATTTTCTATATATATGGTGGTATTAAATCGGATAAATGATGACCATATGTGGGGTTTTGTTAATTTCTCGATCTTGTAACCTAAAAAAGATGCTCTTGTTACAATGTCTCTCCACAAAAATCCATAAATTCTTCATGCCATTTTGTTCTTAACCAGCGACACAATTCTAGTCTAATTGGAAGATCTTGAGGATTTAAAGCTAGTACTCTGTGCAAAGGGAAATAGCAGTTCTTCGTACCTTATTTCCTGTACCTATAACTGTACTTTTTGGAACGTCCCCTTGCATAGCAATTCTTCTGTTGTTTCATGTATCTTTGAATTTATAATTTGATGTAACGTTACTTTTATGTATGTTATTAGGAAATGGGTTATCCTAAATGTTTCATATCTTATCGTCTAAGTATATAAAATAAAAATTAATCCAGGTATAAAGAATTATCTACATGTTAATACAACAACAAATTAATTAAATAAAAATAAAACATGGAAACCAATGGAAATGGGTCACAGGCGTACATAATTACAAATGTAAGTATAAAAATAAAATAAAAATAAACTCCTAAAAAATCTAGGAGTGTTAAGTCGTGCGAGATGGTGGCCAGCTATATTACCACCACATGTTGTGTTGAAATTAACGCTTTTTTATTTATCTATAATAATATTTGCTGTTTATTTGTTTTAGTCCCAATTAGGTTTAGAACTAGACCCCAAAGATGAAAAAGACAAAAATGAAAATGAACCAAAAAAACGTAACTTGATTTTTTGGAAATGTTTGGTGTTTGGAGTTTTTAGTGGATATTTTCTCTGGGCCACCATATATTACGTGCAAGATTTGAAAAGACGTAAGTAAAATTGTACATTGTTTTTTAATAATTTATATGTTTAATTTTTTAGTGTCTATAAGCGATTCAGCTTGTAGTGGCTATGGCTGTTTAATGATACTATACATTTTTATTTTATATGGAATTACCTATACATACATTATTAAACCATACCTGGAAAAACATGTATTAAAATTCTTGGTATACCCTATAACGTCATGCCTTAAGAAAATTAAGTAAGAAAAAATGGTATAAAAATCATTAACTTTTTGTATTTTTTTTTTAGATATATAGATCAATTATTTTCGGCGGCATTTTTTTTAGGTGTTTTTGGGTATCTAATTTTCGATACCAGTGATAATAGAAGTAGGTTAATGCCTATTAGTGGTCTTTTGGTCTTTTTACTAATAGGTTTCTTAATGTCAAATAATAAGAAAAAAGTAAGTAAGGTGGACAATATTAATATTATGATTATTCAAAAAAACTTTAATGTTTTAGATACCTTGGCATACAGTATTATGGGGTCTAAAGCTACAATTTATTTTTGGCTTCATCACAATCAGATGGAATGTGGGACGGCAAATTTTTTCGTGCATTGGGGATAAAATTACAACATTTCTGCATTACTCGCAAGAGGGGGCTAAATTTGTGTATGGAGACACTCTAGTGTTGGGAGAAATTAACCCAGAAACCAACGTTAGAGACTTGGGGGGAGTTTTTGCGTTTAGTGTAAGAGGATTTTAAATTTCCGTTCAGTAGCATATATTTAAAAAATGTTAGGACAAATTCGCACAGTAGGATGCATTTAAAAAATAATGGGACAAATTACAAATATTTAAAAAAATTCAAAATAAGGTTATCCTAAATATAAAAAATTAAAAGACAAATTCGCACAGTAGTATAGAATTAAAAAAATATTGGACAAATTACAAAAATTTTCAAACAAGGTTTCCAAAACTTTTAAAATATCACAAATTTTCAGATTAAAAAAAAAAATTATGTGTGCGTGTTCTGCAACATGTTGTACAATTAAAAAATGCCCTTACATTTAATGTAGGTATTTAAAACCGGGTAATTGAAAACTGCACATTAAAATAAATGTGTCTGGTAATTAAAAAAATATATATTAAATAATTATTTTTCAGTTTACATGTATTTAAAACGGGGTAATTGAAAACTGCACATTAAAATAAATGTTTCGGGTAATTGAAAACTCAAATTCAAACAAAATTGGATAATTGAAAACTGCTCTTACATGCATTAATTTTTTAAATGGTAGAAACAGGGCCGTGCGCAGGATTTCCTCCTGGTGGGCATACAATTTGAAGAAAAATTGGACCTATATTTCCTAGTTATTTTTTATAAAAAATATATATTTAAAAGTTATACCAATTTCAGTATTTTAAGTGAAATTTCATACAAAATAGGATATTTAAAGTAACATTCTAGTTTAAAACTATAAAAAAGGTGGAAAATAATCGCACAGTAGCATAGATTAAAAAAATGGTAGGACAAATTTGCACAGTGGGATAAATTTCAAAAATTGGAAGACAAATTCGCACAGTGCCATACATTTAAAAAATGGTGGGACAAATTCGCACAGAGGCATACATTTAAAAAATGGTGGGACAAATTTGCACAGTAGCATAGAATTAAAAAATGACAAATTACAGAAATTTAAAATTTATCAAAATAGGGTTTCCAAAAATGTTCATCATTTCTTAAAATGCTCTTATATTTTTAAATTTTCCAAAATCTTAAAATTTTGTAAATTTTCAATTTTTCCGAAATAATAAAAAAATTCCCACAGTGGCTTAAATTAAAAAAAATGGTAGGACAAATTTGCACAGTAGGTTAAATTTAAAATAATTGGAAGACAAATAAGCACAGTGACATAAATATAAAAAATGGTGGTACAAATTCGCACAGTAGTATAGAATTAAAAAATGATGAAACAAATTACAAAAATTTTCAAAATAGGGTCTCCAAATTTTTAAATTATTTAAAATTTTCATATTTTCATATTTTTTCAAAATTTCCAAAACTTGGACGTACAGTAGCATGGATTAAAAAAAATGGTAGGACAAATTTGCACAGTGGGATAAATGTCAAAAATTGGAAGACAAATTCGCACAGTGGCATAAATTAAAAAAATGGTAGGACAAATTTGCACAGTAGGTTAAATTTATAATAATTGGAAGACAAATTCTCACAGTGATATAAAAAATGGTGGCACAAATTCGCACAATAGTATAGAATTAAAAAAATGATGGGACAAATTACAAAAATTTAAAATATTTAAAATTTTCATATTTTTAAAAATTTTAAAAAATTTCAAAATTTCCAAAAATTTTTGTATTTTTAAAATTTTTCAAAATTTCCAAAACCTTAAAATTTTTGTAAAATGTTCTCTTTTTCCGAAATAATCAAAATATTCGCACAGTAGCATGGATTAAAAAAATGGTAGGACAAATTCGGACAGTGAGATAAATTTCAAAAAATAGAAGACAAATTCGCATTGGCATAAATTTAAAAAATGGTGGGACAAATTTGCACAGTTGTATAGAATTAAAAAATGACAAATTACGGAATTTTTTTTTTTTAAATAGGGTTTTCAAAAAGTTTAAAATATCTAAAATTTTCAGATTAACAAAAATTTTCAAAATTTACAAAAATTTTGGTATTTTTCAAATTTTCCAAAATTTCAAAATTTTCCAAGATCTTGAAAGTTTATTAAATTATTAATTTTTCAGAAATAATCAAAAAAATTTCATTTTCCATAAATTCCAAAATTCTGTTTTCAGGGTATACTGACAGTGTATTTTATGGCTTTCATGATCAATATTTTGTATTATTACGGAATTATGCAAAAAGTTGTAAAAGTTATTGGTGAATTTTTACAAATGGTTATGGATACAACAATATGTGAAAGTGTCAATACAGCTGCTAATATTTTTTTGGGAATGGTAATTTTTTTTAATATAGGATAGATCCTCCTTATTGCAATAATCCATTTTCAAAGTTTAAAAAGTTTTGAAAAAAAAAATTAGATAGGATTTTAAAGTTAATTTCCAACAAAAATATTTACTACTAATTTTAAAATCCCAACTATTCTGCGAGTTATAAAATTTTTAATTTTTTTTCTTTTTTAAAACTTTGATTCAATATATCTTTTGAATGGCTAGGTTTACGAAAAAAACATAACAAATCTTTTTTGTAGATCAATAAATTTCCTATAAATTGGTTTATTGTGCTAAGCTTTATATTTATCTCTTAGTGAGATATAATTTTTTTTATAGACTAATGTAAAAATGGAAAATCGCGATGAGGATCTTACTCTAATAGAAAGAGCTCATTCATATTTAGTAGACATACGTTATATTTTTTAGACAGAAGCCCCTTTACTGTTAAAACCTTATCTAAAAAATTTAACTAATTCCGAAATAAATTCCATAATGACGTCAGGGTTTGCAACAGTAGCTGGTAATGCACTATATTACACTATATGCACTGAGAGAAATAGAGTATTTACAATTACATGTAACGCATTTTATCTACAATATGTTTCTCTCAGTGTATATATTACTATAGCCATCTAAAATCCCAAGGTTAAAAAAATACTCTTTTTATTTTTTTAGGGAGTGTAATGGCCGCATATATCAGCTATGGGGCCGACCCTGCTGCTCTTATTACCGCCAGTGTGATGTCTGCGCCAGCGGCCCTGTGTTTCAGTAAAATGATGGTCCCAGAAACTGAGGAAGTTAAAATTACCAAAGAAAATGTCGATATAGTCGAAAAGTAAGTAAAATCGTTTAAAGTATAAAGTATATTTTTACAATATACTTACGATTACAAAAATTATAAACCGTTTATGGTTATAACCTTTATTTTTTATTTTAAGTGAGTACGAATCCGTTTTGGATGCTGCCAGTCAAGGTGTCAGTATGGGACTACAGATAGTGCTAGGAATTTGTAGCAGTGTTATAGCATTTATTGCATTTGTGGCTTTTATAAATGGTATATTAGGGTGGATGGGAATTTTAGTAGGTAGGTAAATATATATTATATAAAAAGAAAGCAAATTCGGATCGTCAGGAAATGAAATGAAATGAAATGAAATGAAATGAAATGAAATGAAATGAAATGAAATGAAATGAAATGAAATGAAATGAAATGAAATGAAATGAAATGAAATGAAATGAAATGAAATGAAATGAAATGAAATGAAATGAAATGAAATGAAATGAAATGAAATGAAATGAAATGAAATGAAATGAAATGAAATGAAATGAAATGAAATGAAATGAAATGAAATGAAATGAAATGAAATGAAATGAAATGAAATGAAATGAAATGAAATGAAATGAAATGAAATGAAATGAAATGAAATTAAATTAAATTAAATTAAATGAAATGAAATGAAATGAAATGAAATGAAATGAAATGAAATGAAATGAAATGAAATGAAATGAAATGAAATGAAATGAAATGAAATGAAATGAAATGAAATGAAATGAAATGAAATGAAATGAAATGAAATGAAATGAAATGAAATGAAATGAAATGAAATGAAATGAAATGAAATGAAATGAAATGAAATGAAATGAAATGAAATGAAATGAAATGAAATGAAATGAAATGAAATGAAATGAAATGAAATGAAATGAAATGAAATGAAATGAAATGAAATGAAATGAAATGAAATGAAATGAAATGAAATGAAATGAAATGAAATGAAATGAAATGAAATGAAATGAAGAGAAAAGAAAGGAATAGAAAAGATCAAATCAAATCAAATCAAATCAAATCAAATCAAATCAAATCAAATCAAATCAAATCAAATCAAATCAAATCAAATCAAATCAAATCAAATCAAATCAAATCAAATCAAATCAAATCAAATCAAATCAAATCAAATCAAATCAAATCAAATCAAATCAAATCAAATCAAATCAAATCAAATCAAATCAAATCAAATCAAATCAAATCAAATCAAATCAAATCAAATCAAATCAAATCAAATCAAATCAAATCAAATCAAATCAAATCAAATCAAATCAAATCAAATCAAATCAAATCAAATCAAATCAAATCAAATCAAATCAAATCAAATCAAATCAAATCAAATCAAATCAAATCAAATCAAATCAAATCAAATCAAATCAAATCAAATCAAATCAAATCAAATCAAATCAAATCAAATCAAATCAAATCAAATCAAATCAAATCAAATCAAATCAAATCAAATCAAATCAAATCAAATCAAATCAAATCAAATCAAATCAAATCAAATCAAATCAAATCAAATCAAATCAAATCAAATCAAATCAAATCAAATCAAATCAAATCAAATCAAATCAAATCAAATCAAATCAAATCAAATCAAATCAAATCAAATCAAATCAAATCAAATCAAATCAAATCAAATCAAATCAAATCAAATCAAATCAAATCAAATCAAATCAAATCAAATCAAATCAAATCAAATCAAATCAAATCAAATCAAATCAAATCAAATCAAATCAAATCAAATCAAATCAAATCAAATCAAATCAAATCAAATCAAATCAAATCAAATCAAATCAAATCAAATCAAATCAAATCAAATCAAATCAAATCAAATCAAATCAAATCAAATCAAATCAAATCAAATCAAATCAAATCAAATCAAATCAAATCAAATCAAATCAAATCAAATCAAATCAAATCAAATCAAATCAAATCAAATCAAATCAAATCAAATCAAATCAAATCAAATCAAATCAAATCAAATCAAATCAAATCAAATCAAATCAAATCAAATCAAATCAAATCAAATCAAATCAAATCAAATCAAATCAAATCAAATCAAATCAAATCAAATCAAATCAAATCAAATCAAATCAAATCAAATCAAATCAAATCAAATCAAATCAAATCAAATCAAATCAAATCAAATCAAATCAAATCAAATCAAATCAAATCAAATCAAATCAAATCAAATCAAATCAAATCAAATCAAATCAAATCAAATCAAATCAAATCAAATCAAATCAAATCAAAACAAAACAAATCAAATCAAATCAAATCAAATCAAATCAAATCAAATCAAATCAAATCAAATCAAATCAAATCAAATCAAAACAAATCAAATCAAATCAAATCAAATCAAATCAAATCAAATTAAATCATTTTCGGAAAAATGAAAAGAAAAGAATATAAAAGATTTAATCAAATCAAACTAATCAATTCAAAATCAATTCATTTTCGGAAAAATTTAGAAATTTTCAGATAAATTTACTTTTTTATTTAATTTTTAGAAATTTTGAAATTTTATTAAATTTTAAAAGTTTTAAAAATGGAATTTTGGAAACCTTATTTTGAAAATTTTTAAATTTTTGTAATTTGTCCCATTATTTTTTAGTTTCATGGAACTGTGCGAATTTGTCCCACCATTTTTTAAATTTATCCCACTGGGCGAAATACGAAAAAATGCAAAAGTAAAATTTTATGAAAATTTACAAATTTTTACGGATGATATTGAGAAAAAAGTGAATTTTCGACGCTTAACACTTATAATTTTATAATTTAAGTTTATAAATCATTCATTATTTTGTATTTGGATATTTTTAATGGAGGGCAATATGGAATTGCCCTCCATTAAAAATTACGCTATTACGCATGGAGCGTAATAGCGTAATTTTCTTCAAATTTATATCAATCAAAATGTTCCAAATGTTATTAAACTAGGAGCATACATGTCTACTTGTGCCAAGAAAATTATTACTTTATTTATTTAACCCAATATTCCATAAAATTTTAAATAATTAAAAAGTCTTAACTGCTTTTAAATTCTGCACTAAAACTATGTTATGTCCCATGAGTTATCATATTAACCAATTTTTTTAAAACCTCACACAATCAAAGCAGTTAAGTTGAATGTTTTTTTAATACACTATAGGCAAAGTATATTTTTAAAATAAGATTATGTTTCATACAGTTTAGGATTCAGAGAAAAAGGTTGCTTCATTTAACCAGTTTTTTAAAGAAAGTTTTCCATGTCCCATGAGTTATCACACGTTTTGTCTGCATTTTGTCTAGAGATCAATTGGTGAACTTATTCAAAAATGTTAAAAATGTACATTGGCCTATCCTTTAAAGTTTAAACATTTTATACATTCCAAATAAATATAGGTATTCTGGTATACCAAGTTCAATTTTATTTCTGTCATCTGAATGTCCTGTGAGTTATCATGGAATTGCCCTGGACTCCTTTTTGCAACAAAAATCAATTTAATTCAATTCAATGTTTAGTTTTATTTTTTTTGTAATAAAGGAGATTTTTTTAAATTCAATACTGTTGTTGATTGCTACTTTTTTTTAAATGCATATATTTTCAAAAAAAAATGAAATTTATCCCAAAAAAGTCAATTTTTCCAAGGCCTGGGAAAGAACGAAATAAAAAACGGTTTTTTTCCCAATTTTCCCGACACTTTCACCTATTCAAATCATATCTAATCGAATCGAATCAAATTGACAGTCAACAAAAAAATTTTTTTTTCAGGGTTTTCTGGAGAGAACCAATGGTCTCTGGATCTAATAGCAGGGAAGATATTTATTCCCGTCAGCTATATAATGGGAGTCCCTTGGGAAGACTGCGAGAAAGTAGGAAAGTTAATAGGATTAAAAACCATGATAAACGAATTTGTGGCTTACAAAACCATGGGCGAAATGAATCTTACGGTAATTATTTTATGCAGACATGAACAATTTTTTTAATCGTTTTATCTTGGTTTCCATTTTTATAAAACTAAAAAAAGGAACACACAAATTTGAGAAAATACATTTTTTTTTATTTTCAGGGAAGAACAAAAATGATAGCAACATATGCTATATGTGGTTTCTCTAATCCTGGCTCAGTCGGCATATTAATATCTGCCATGGTGGCTCTAATACCACACAAGAAACAAGCAATTTTAAAAACGATTTACAAATCTTTCATTGGTGGAGCACTGGTTTGTTTCATGACAGCCTGTATTGCTTCAATGTTGTATCCTGAAATTGCCCTTCAATAAAAAAGTTCCAGTGTTTTAAAGGTATATTTTAGTAAATTTATAATTTTAATTTATTTAATAAATGTATATTTTATATTTAGGCACACAATTTTTATTTTATGAACCTTGTAAAACATATAAAATGAGTTAAAAACTGTTTAAAACAACAATATCGATAGACGTAGGTAGGCCACCCAGTTAACACGCACATGCAACTGTATTACCTACATACAAAACAATAACAAACCATGCATTTAATTAACTTTAAACATGAAAAGGGATAAAAACCGCTAAAATCGATAAGGAAACCACAAAGCGACAAAACGGGTTTAACTTAGTCAAATTCACACTTTCGTCGAGTTAAAATCATAGAAATTCAACATAGATTCGAAAAAAAAACAATTGACCATCGCGCATAATAGATGTCACATGTCGCCGTAATTGTAAACATTTTATATTTGACATAATTTTCAAAATGGCGTGTATGTACGAGTTGTGATAATTTATAAAAAGGTAAGTCGTGTTTTTTTTGGGAAATAAAGGTGCTGCAGTTAAAAGTTTAGTGAGAAACGTCCAAACGGTACTTGTTATACGTCGATCGTCATCTATTTTGCTCGGATACGCAATCCACGCAACGAAAATAAACAATTGCATATCGATTATTTTTACCTGATGTATGCTACGTTGGCTATGGGCAAAGCTGTGTTGATTTTTTAAGTTAATAATAATTTTGACGTTTAGGCGCGAATTTTGACGATTTCGAATGTCGCCAGTGTCGTGCTGTTGTTTTTAAAAAGGGGTCGTACAGTTACAGTGTTTGTTCAATATTATGCGGCACTAGTTAAGGAAATAATACAGTTTATGTTTAGTTATTTTGGGTAAGTTCTTTTTACATTACCTATATTGAGGAATTAGAAAAATGTTTTATTATTACTTAATATTGATTTTAAAGAAATATTTGAAAGGCAGTATAATATTTATTCAATACATTATGCCTAGGAATTGTAATTTAATATTGACCTGTAATTTCTATGAAATTTAATATACTAAAGGTAAAAAATCGATTTTTACTTTTTATGGTGAATTAGGTACTAGACACTTTCCCATGTTTGTGGTTTTGTTTTTTTATTTTATTGTTACGATACAATTTTAAATGAAATTTTATATAAAATTTTAAATAGGTACAGTAAATAATCCTGTGAAGGCTTTTCTTTGGAATTATTATTTGGGCACTAGAAATAGTCGTTTCAAAATATCGAAGGTCAAAGGGTGTATTATCTTTGACGAAGATTTTGTTAATTAATTATGTAAGTGAGGTTAACCATTTGACAGATGTCAGATTTTAAAATGTATAGTACCTATAAACGTTATCAATTCTCGTCAGAAAAACAACTACCTATTTTTGTTTCCTGTTTTATGTTAATTTTAATTCAAAACATTTCCATCAAACCCTGTATTGTTTAAAGGTATTGTGACACGATTCCATTGAAAAATACTGTTACCTATGTGTATCAAATTTAAAATGTTGCTGATATGAATTATTTTAAAAATTGTTTATTTGGTTTAAACTATTTACACAATTGTTATGTGAGATAACAAAATTTATAAGTATTAAAAGGTGTAAAATGTAAAAATATTTTAAATTAAGTAGGTAAATTTTTCAATTTAATTTTGTGCCTAGGTTAAGGTGACCAACTCTTCTGAAAGAAAAACCAGAACTCTAATAAAAAATCTGTATTTTTTATTAAAATGTTTATATACATATATGTATTTCTATTTTTCTTGGGAGTGAATTTTTTTTATTAGTACTTCATTTTTTTTAAGCAGCTTAATAAGCATGTTTGATCGAAATTAGTTTTAACAAACCTAATAATGATTTTAGTGTTTCAATATGCAATTGTAATTTGTCTTTTGTCCAAAAGTTGTTCATATTGGAAAAAACTTTCTCTACAGGACTATTTGTTCAAGATAAACACAAGAATTTGGGTAATTCTTTTGCATTTCTGCATTAAAGATGCATTTTCCTCTTTGCAGATGCATATCATTTAGAGTTTGTATTTAGTGGGGCGAGCAGGGTTGCACAATTGGGCGGAAAATCTGGCAAAGTGGAAAATATAATTTTTTGTTTATGGCTTAATTAGTATTGTAGGTATATGTAGGTATCAAAACAGAATAAAACAGAAAAGCTTTTGAAAAACATAACTTTTACTTTACTTAATTTACAACCAGAACATGGTTCTCAAAAACAGTATAGTTCTGGTTAAATCAGAACGGTTGGTCACCTTAGCCTAGGTAAATTATTAAAATGTTTTAAAACATAAATGCCTTTCTAAAAATATCTAAACTAAAAATTAATATTAAAGTCTCAGTGATGAAATTTGAATTACGTACCTATTACAAAATTATTAAAGAATGTTTTCCAAAAATTTTGGATTTATAAAGTGTAATGAGTGATAGTACCATGTTAATATTAGTTTAATTTTATTTCAATATTTTTTTCATGGATAACTTGACAAAATAAATTTTTGTAGTTATTTTTGTGCATTTTTTTTTCTTAAAATTTTTCAATAAAATTCAGTATAAAAAAATCGCTAATATGAATTCTTAAAAATTTACTCTTAAAAACTGACATAGTAGGCCTTGTATTTTGTATTAATATGGCTTTTTTTGCTCCAAAAATACAGTTTATCAAGATCTACACTTTAAAACAAATCCGGTTAAAATCGCACAATAAATAAAGATTTTACAGGGGTGAGTCGCAAACAAATGGGTCACACTGTATATAATTATTATTAAGCCACAACAAGTATTAACGTACAGTGGCTTTAACAAAATACCCATTCACCATTGGAGTCCAATGATTGGACAACATTCACGCGTGTTCACATAACATTTTAATTTCTTTTAGGTATATAAATTCTTTTCAAAGCAAAGATTATTATCCGCTAGGAATACTTTGTCTCTCCTGGGCCGTAGTCACCTATATTTAACTACGAATTTTGACAACTCAACTTGACAACCTTTCAATGTAACCTACAATAATTTAAACATAACCTCAAATACATTATAATTACATTTATAACAAGTGTAGTTTGTTTTAATCACTTCAACCAATTTTGGTTCCTTATTTACCAACCAAACCCCTAAATTTGCAACGTTGCCGCAGTCCAGATAAAAAAAATTAACTTTAGACACTCATTTAATTTAAATTCGTGACTAAAATGCCTTTTAGCAAACTTGATACCTACATAATATACCTACCATTAAATAATTGCCTCGTATCAGAAACAATTAGGTTAAAATCATGCATTTATTTTAATTAGCTTAAAAATACGGTCTGGGTGAGATATGCTATCAGTTTTTCCCAAAAATAGGTATATGTATAATTTTTAAAAACGCACACCGAATTGAAGCAAAACAAGGTACAATTGATTGAAACAAAAAACTTTTTTTTTAAATCTTTATTTAAAATAAATAATAACGTATTTCTTCACAACCTCCTCAACATGGGTAACAAATGAAAGGGTTTCGTAAGCAGAACACGTGACGTCATTAATTTCCTTATGGCGGATGTAACTAACAAACTAATTAAATTTTAAGACCTAAAAGTTAAATTATATATATTTAATTAAATTATTTCTTAAAAATTCTGTCACATCATTTTTAGGTTAGGTTCAACTGTCATGATGCCATTTTAGGGTAATTCCATTTATTAGCCACCAATGAGTGCACCTCATATACTCTAATTTTATTTCTTTTTTAACTGTAAATAGACATGGACCCAAGAAGTGAAAAAAACTCCCCTTTTCTTTTCTCCCCCTATCACCTATTTATACAGGGCTACGCAAAAGTTACTATGCAGACCTAACTTAAAAAAATTGTACTTTTTTTGCTAATAAAGCTATCGACATTAAACAAACTGTTAATTGTTAAGAAAATATTTCTCTTTTAAACCATATAGGACACATTTAGTTATTGATGCCCTAAATAGTCTTTGGGAATTTTTTTAAAAATGCAATTTTTTGGCAAAATTGTCTAATTTTATAAATTCATATATTCTTAGAACAACTTGTCAGCAAAATTTTTTTAATGTAGTTTGTTACCATAGATCTAACTCTATATAAAAGCAATGAAAACATTTTCAAATAATATTGGCTAAGAGTTCAAAAAAATATAATAAAAATCTATGTTTTCGAAAAATCACTATTTTCAGCCATTTCATGGTTTAAAAAGGCTATGTTTGAGTGAGTCGATTTAAACCAATTTATGCTTATCATCACATGCACTTATTAGCCTCCAATAACCATTAATAAAATTATTGTGTATTTTGCTTTTAACTGGGCTGTGGCTATATGTACAGCCCAGCTATAAGCAAAATACACAATATGCCCACCTGACTTTAAGCCATTTCATGGTTTAAAAAGGCTATGTTTGAGTGAGTCGATTTAAACTAATTTATGCTTATCATCACAGGCACTTATTGGTCTCCAATAATCATGAATAAAATTATTATGTATTTTTCTTTTAGCTGGGCTGTGGATGTATATGTCCACCTGTGACTATATCTATATTATTAACCATATATTTCGAAAAATATAAAAATAACTTGACAGCCTTGAATTGACTTCTAATTCATTCTAAATAAAAATATAAAAACCACATAAAGTGGCGTCGAAAATTAACTACCCATTTATTTATTTTTTAAATTAAGTAAACATAATCAAATGTACAAAAAATTAATTAAATGACTAAAAGACATACTTTTCATAAAGTTTATATTTAAACAAAATAAAACAGGTATTAAATCCTAAATTTGAATTAAACCTAACTGCATATAATTAAACTGAAGAAATCATATTCTTAACTTTTACAATCACCTAAAAAACCTATTTACTATTTTTTACCTCTAAAAAGTTATATGAATCGGAAAATTTTCTTATGTGTATAATGTCTATCAAGAGGAATAAATTAACGACTTATGGCCTTTAAATGGATCGCAGCAGACTTCACCAAAAATGTTGGTACCTACGTTATTTGTTTTCCTCCTTAGTACAAGATTCAATCTTGGAAAATCGCAAAAAAATATTTTTATCCGAAATCTGCCGAAAGTAGTCAACAATCGGCAGTAAAGTAAAAGAAATAAAGTTCTACTTTACTGCCGAAGTATGTCTTTTAGTCATTTAATTAATTTTTTGTACATTTGATTATGTTTTCTTAATTTAAAAAATAAATAAATGGGTAGTTAATTTTCGACGCCACTGTATGTGGTTTTTATATTTTATATTTATATTTAGAATAAATTAGAAGTCAATTCAAGGCTGTCAAGTTATTTTAAAGATGCAATACGCTTTTTCGAAATATATGGTTAATAATATGGATATAGTCACAGGTGGACATATACATCCACAGCCCAGCTAAAAGAGAAATACATAATAATTTTATTCATGATTATTGGAGACCAATAAGTGCCTGTGATGATAAGCATGCATTGGTTTAAATCGACTCACTCAAAC